GAGTTGATTAATTTGGCTAGGCTAATATATAGAAGGAAGATGAGTGAGTGGTCATTAATTTGGGGTGGGGAGTCACGTGGGGTGAACGGTTGAGATTCTCACGTGGGATACGATTTAATGAGGTCTCCAATTTTGGGTGAACGGGTGAACGGTTGATATTCTCATGGTTAAGATTCTCACCTGGTATGGGAATTTATGATCTCTACAATCTTGGGTGAACGGTTGAGATTCTCAGGTGGGTTGCAAATTCATCGACCAAAATTACTACGTGTCAACTTCGACACTTTTCAAGTCAAACTAATATCTCATGAAGTCAAGTGGGTGACAAATATTTATAGGCTTTATTAAATAATTATTACAAAATAATATCTCAATTAAGATATGCACAATGAAAGGAAGATATACGTGCAATACATGTGTAATATACGTGCAATGCAAGTACGATGGAGAGTTGTAAGTAGAGGAGAGGAAAATGAATCAAGAATACGAGGAAAGGAAGAGACGCCGTGATCGAATGCTGAGGAGTTGATTAATTTGGGTAGGCTAATATATAGAAGGAAGATGAGTGAGTGGTCATTAATTTGGGGTGGGGAGTCACGTGGGGTGAACGGTTGAGATTCTCACGTGGAATGAGAATTAATGATGTCTCCAATCTTGGTTGAACGGGTGAACGGTTGAGATTCTAACCGTTGAGATTCTCACGTGGGATGGGAATTTATGATCTCTCCAATCTTGGGTGAACAGTTGAGATTCTCACGTGGATTGCAAATTCATCGACCAAAATTACTACGTGTCAACTTCGACACTTTTCAAGTCAAACTAATATCTCATAAAGTCAAGTGGGTGACAAATATTTATAGGCTTTATTAAATAATTATTACAAAATAATATCTCAATCAAGATATGCAAAATGAAAGGAAGATATACGTGCAATACACGTGTAATATACGTCCAATGCAAGTACGATGGAGAGTTGTAAGTAGAGGAGAGGAAAATGAATCATGATTACGAGGAAAGGAAGAGACGACGTGATCGAATGCTGAGGAGTTGATTAATTTGGCTAGGCTAATATATAGAATGAAGATGAGTGAGTGGTCATTAATTTGGGGTGAGTAGTCACGTGGGGTGAACAGTTGAGATTCTCACGTGGGATACGATTTAATTATATCTCCAATTTTGGGTGAACGGATGAACGGTTGATATTCTCACGATAGAGATTCTCACGTGGGATGGGAATTTATGATCTCTCCAATCTTGGGTGAACGGTTGAGATTCTCACGTGGGTTGTAAATTCATCGATCAAAATTACTACGTGTCAACTTCGACACTTTTCAAGTCAAACTAATATCACATGAAGTCAAGTGGGTAACAAATATTTATAGGCTTTATTAAATAATTATTACAAAATAATATCTCAATCAAGATATGCACAATGAAAGGAAGATATACGTGCAATACACGTGTAATATACGTGCAATGCAAGTACGATGGAGAGTTGTAAGTAGAGGAGAGGAAAATGAGTCATGATTACGAGGAAAGGAAGAGACGCCGTGATCGAATGCTGAGGAGTTGATTAATTTGGCTAGGCTAATATATAGAAGGAAGATGAGTGAGTGGTCATTAATTTGGGGTGGGGAGTCACGTGGGGTGAACGGTTGAGATTCTCACGTGGAATGCAGATTAATGATGTCTCCAATCTTGGGTGAACGGGTGAACGGTTGAGATTCTTACGGTTGGGATTCTCACGTGGGATGGGAATTTATGATCTCTCCAATCTTGGGTGAACGGTTGAGATTCTCACGTGGGTTGCAAATTCATCGACCAAAATTACTACGTGTCAACTTCGACACTTTTCAAGTCAAACTAATATCTCATGAAGTCAAGTGGGTGACAATTATTTATAGGCTTTATTAAATAATTATTACAAAATAATATCTCAATCAAGATATGCACAATGAAAGGAAGATATACGTGCAATACACGTGTAATATAGGTCCAATGCAAGTACGATGGAGAGTTCTAAGTAGAGGAGAGGAAAATGAATCATGATTACGAGGAAAGGAAAAGACGCCATGATCGAATGCTGAGGAGTTGATTAATTTTGGTAGGCTAATATATAGAATGAAGATGAGTGAGTGGTCATTAATTTGGGGTGGGGAGTCACGTGGGGTGAACGGTTGAGATTCTCACATGGAATGCGAATTAATGATATCTCCAATCTTGGGTGAACGGGTGAACGGTTGAGATTCTCACCATTGAGATTCTCACGTGGGATGGAAATTTATCATCTCTCCAATCTTGGGTGAACGGTTGAAATTCTCACGTGGGTTGCAAATTCATCGACCAAAATTACTACGTGTCAACTTCTACACTTTTCAAGTCAAACTAATATCTCATAAAATCAAGTGGGTGACAAATATTTATAGGCTTTATTAAATAATTATTACAAAATAATATCTCAATCAAGATATGCACAATGAAAGGAAGATATACGTGTAATACACGTGTAATATACGTGCAATGCAAGTACGCTGGAGAGTTGTAAGTAGAGGAGAGGAAAATGAATCATGATTACGAGGAAAGGAAGAGACGCCGTGATCGAATGCCGAGGAGTTGATTAATTTGGCTAGGCTAACTATGTAAATGATGCACGCCATACTTTCTCGCGTTTAACTTATTTGGGGGGAAGAACAGCATTGGTGCCAAAACTTGTGTGCGGAGGCCACTTTGGTGCCAAAAGTTTCAATCGGATCACTTAAGTGCTAAAAGTTATGAAAAATAATGAATTAAGTGCCACTTCTCCGGAAATCCGATGTGGCATTTTTTTATTAATTTCTCAAGCTGATGTGGCTCGCTGGAGACTTATGTGGCATTTTTTTTTCTTTTCTTTCTTTTTTCCTTTCTTTTCTTTTTTTTTCCTTTTCTTTCTTTTTTCCTTTCTTTTCTTTCTTCTTATTTCCGATGGCCGGCGTCCAGCCACCGGCCATGGCCGGCCTCGCCGGGCTCGCCTTCCTCCGGGCGAGGCCCAGCGAGGCAGCCGTGGCCTCAGCGAGGGCCGGCCTCGCCGTATTTGGCGAGGCGAGCCCTCGCCGGATTTGGCGAGGTGAGCCCTCGCCGGGGTTGGCCCTGCCCAGGCGAGGGTCGAGGTCGCTTTGGCAGGGCGAGCCCTGGCGAGGGCTCGCCTTGCCAGATCCGGCGAAGCCTGCCCTCGCCGAGGCCACGGCTGCCTCGCCCCGAGGAAGGTGACGCCCGGCGTGGCAGCCGTGGCCTCGTCCGGAGGAAGGCGACACCCGGGGAGGTCGGCCATGGCCGGTGGCTGGCCTCCGGCCACCGGCCATGGTAGAAGAAGAAAAAGACAGAAATGAAAAAAAAAAAATTAGAAAAAAATTTTTAAAAAATTGAATTATACACATGAAATGCCATGTGTCATTAAAATTTAAATATAAAAGCCACGTATTAAATTTGGTCGGAATTTCTCGCCGTTAGCACTTAAGTGATCGTTTTTTCTCCGATTTGGCACTTAAGTGATCGCCGGCGTAAACTTTTGGCACTTAAGTGATCCAAATGAAACTTTTGGCACCAAAGTGGCCTCCGTACACAAGTTTTGGCACCAATGCTGTTCTTCCCCCAACTTATTTGGGCTCTTAGAATGTCAATATGTTCGTGCTACATAAAAGGACTTGAGATTAATCTCGAAAATTTTCTTGGTCGTAAAATTAATCTCTAAATTAACGAGGTAAAGGTTCTCATTCCTTCTTTCGTGCGCCTAAACTTTCCGCGCATGGAATGATTCTTCATATTCCGAGGAATCTTAGGTAACGCATGATAATTATTCTGGTTCTGTCCAGAACTGGTTTTCTGTTCTCAGAAATAGCTTTGGATCAGAAACCCGTTTGGTAACGCAATTCCATTTTTCTATTTCTGAAACAACTTTTTGTTCCGGAACCAATTCTGAACCAGAAATCAGAACAAAAAAAAAGTAGGTTTTCTATTTCTAGACCAAAAATGAGAATCATTTCTGAGAGAACTCTTTCTTCAAAACACATGTTCATATGAAAGTCACAATCTTTGAGATGGGAAAAAAAAGCAAAAAATCAAAAATTTCAAAAGCCCCTTCCCCCTGTTGGTAGGGGCGGGGGGAGGGGGAAGGGGCTTCAACAAGGAGAGGGTGGTGGGGGTAGGGGTGGTGGGGGTGGGGGTGGGGGTGGGGGGAGGGGGCTTCCCGGGGGGCGCGCGCAAGGGAAGGGGCTTCGGGGTGGAGGTGGAGGTGGTGGTGGAGGTGGTGGTGGGGTGGACGGTGGCGATGGAGAGGTGTAAGTAGAGGAAAGGAAAATGAATCATGATTACGAGGAAAGGAAGCGACGCCGTGATCGAATGCTGAGGAGTTGAAAATTGGCTAGGCTAATATATAGAAGGAAGATGAGTGAGTAGTCATTAATTTGGGGTGGGGAGTCACGTGGGGTGAGCAGTTGAGATTCTCCCGTGGGGGTTGAAAATTCATGATGTCTCTAATCTTGGATAAGTTTTCTCCAACAGGAAAAAGGAGACCTATAAATTATCAATAATTTTGGCTGGACGGTTGATATCCTTCTTTATATATAAATATTGATGGTAATGAATTGGAAGAATAATTTATAAATCATTAATTTGAGGTGAGGAGTCAAGTGGAGTGAGCGGCTAAGATTCTCCCGTGGGGGTTGAAAATTCATGATCTCTCTAATCTTGGATAAGTTTTTTCCAACAGAACAAAAGAGACCTATAAATTATCAATAAATCTGGCTGGACGGTTGATATCCTTCTTTATATATAAATATTGATGGTAATGAATTGGAAGAATCATTTATAAATCATTAATTTGGGGTGGGGAGTCACGTGGGTGACAATACCTCGCACCACACCAGGTGTACAAGGAGGTACGATATTTTTTTATGTAGCACTCGGTTTGCTTAAAAGATTAGATTACGATTGTAATTGCATGGTCTAAGTATCTAAATTGCTGTAGCTGCTACGATGGGGAGAGATCGAATCCGGGGCAAGAGATCGATACCTCCACACTATTCACTCCCTCGTTGACAGATACCCTCAAGAAAATTTGCTGTTCGTCACTCATGGTGAGCTTCAATTTGACATCTAGTTTCTTATGGGACCCAAAGAATAGACTTGGCGCAGCACCGTGGGTTTATTTGCTCCGCTCAATGTTAATACGAGCCGATCAGATTCAACGGTTCATATGAATACCTGTCGTGCATACACCCGGTGTTCACAGGAGTGGCGGCGAAAACTGAAGACGTTTTTGTGTCTTGACATGTTTCTAAACCGGCTTCAAATGCAGGGGAAGGAGTGAAGGTCACAGCCTCGACATATTGGAAGGAGGCAAGAGGGCACAAAATAAAACCGGACTATCTTAGGCGCGCACATCTCAAAAGGCAAATTGTCTGGAACGGCATCTCTTTCACCGCCAAAAGATTTGAGATCGCCACGAACCCAGATGAAACCGGCATCAAGCACGAGCCGCTACGACACGCGTGAACCGGTGTTTGCAATTGCAGTCTGTGATGGAGCATTGGGAGGGTTTGAGTTGCTTTCTATGCTGGTTTTGCCATATGTTGGTTATGTTGGATCATTTTGATGTTGGGAGAGTTTATGTTGTTCATCCTCTCTGAATCATGCTCACTTAAACACCGCTAAATTTGGAAATTATATCGAGGGCCAAGTGGTTCATACTGCTGCAACACATGAACTAGAGGCGTCTCATACATAAATACTTTTGAACCTGATCTATATACAAAGAATAAACAGCAACAAGAATTGCTATGTCGCTGAATCTTGTCAAATCACGGAAGCTCAGACAATTAAAAAACTCGTCTCCTTGGCAGACCCTTCCTAGCTCGGTATAACTTGTATGATCACCACTTCGATGGGCTCGGGAGTGGCTCGAAATGGTCAGGTACATCCAATGGCAAGTCGTCGAAGAAAACGTCCGGCTTTCCCACGTTCATATTCACGTTCAGACAATTAAAAAACTTGTCTCCTTGGCGCGCGGACCCTTCCTAGTTCGGTATAACTTGTATGATCACCACTTCGATGGGCTCGGGAGTGGCTCGAAATGGTCAGGTACATCCAATGGCAAGTCGTCGAAGAAAACATCCGGCTTTCCCACGTTCATATTCCCATCTATCATGCCTTTCCCACGTTCATATTCCCGTCTATCATGCCGTCGCTGTCTTTACAACACAAGGAAGGACCAAGAACGGGCATGTCGGGAGGAAATCCCTCTCTGTCCACGAGCTCGGAAGCATCATCCCCAGGGCCCAGCAAACTGAAATAGTTGGGGTCGTCGAGCCTTGCCATGAGCTCTTGGCTCTCAAGCGAGAACGAGATGCCTAATTGCGGCAGTGGTATGTGAGGGAACGGGATTTGCATGTGAGGATCGGAGTAGAGGCTCTCGTTGGAGTCAAACTCATGTGGAGCCAAATGGCCACTAGCATTGGGAATAACGGCGTTTGGCAGGTCCGGCGGTGGCGGAAGCAGTCTCTGCGGCAGCGGAGGATCAGTGATGTGCGGCATTGCCCCCAAGCAAGCCCTTGAGGTCGACTCTTCCTCCACCGAAGAGCTCGATTTGGGAATCTGGAAAAGCACGAGGACAAGAGCATAAATCCATGCATCTTTCTTCAATTTAAGGACTTCAAATTGAAGCCTCGATTCTCTTGAAACATTCTCATCAACGACAGTATAACCGATCATTTCGAACTAGAGCAATAGCGACACGTTCTTATCGATTAAAGGACCCGATAAACTGTATTGAGGCTTACGACGTAATCCCTCCAATACAATGTCAAGTAAGCGGCAAAATCAGGAAGATATGAAGCCAAGAAAAGCTTGTGTTCAAGTTTTTCTGTACCTCCACAATCGGAACATTGTGATGGGGAACGACAGGGACTTCCCTTTTGTGTTTGTGCTGCTTGGAAGATGAGGCCCGGAGGATCCTGGCCAGTCTCTTTTGCCTGCTGCTCCAGAAGTTCTTGACGTCGTTGTCAGTCCGCCCAGGCAAGTGTGTTGCGATCCTCGCCCATTTGTTCCCGAACTGCGCCTGCAACTCGATCACCACCCTTTCTTCCTCCGCCGAGAATTTGCAACCGCTGGAACAAGAGCACGACCCGGAAAGAGAAATGAACGAAAATCACAAAGCCATCAATCAATGAGTGCTCAACTTCCTCCCGACACACGACTCAACAACGAAGTAGAAAGCGACGAAAGGATTACAAAATGACGCCGACACTGGCGCACAGCGACTCTGACGTAAGCATAATTCCACACTTTTTGAGATTAGCCCTGAGCTTGTTGACCCAGCGGAGGCGGCACGACTTGGCGGTGCGTACCCCATTTTTTGCACATTGCCATAGTTCTTCAAGGCATAAACATGGGACATGTCGACCAATTATCCATTCTACGATACTCCCGTCCCTGACGGGACCTGATATGAGCTATTGCTTCGAATTGAATAGGTCAGCTTGATTCATCAAGCTCATCAAGGCATATAGCAGTTTCAGTCTTACATAAGATGTTCATATCATATTTTTTGCTTCATAATCCGACAAGATCATGTCATGATCGGCGGAAAAATCAATCTGGTGCATGTTGGACCTTTGTAACATGTGAAATGAAACTTGTGAACAGGATATTTTGTTTCTGACCAGGACTTGCATACTGCGAATTGGTGGCTGATCGTGAAAGACGATCCTCCAATTAAAGTGGGCTATTGGCCGAAGGAACTATTCGCCTATCTACGCAACGGCTCGCTGCACGCAGCTTGGGGAGGAGTAGGCCAAGAGGGCGGCGATGGATACTGTCCTCCATTGGGAAGTGGTCGTTATCCCGGCAATGATTACTCGCATGCCGCATACTTCAGTCACATGTACTGGCTTTACAGAGGAAGTGCCCACCTTCAACCTTCCAGGAAGATCCGAGAAACGGTCGACAAGTCCAATGTCTGTGCCTTGAAGAACGATGGCAACGCGCGGAAAATGGGGTACACGCTTAGCTATGGAGGCCCGGGAGGTTATTGTAGATTACAGTGACTTCTATGGAGAAAATAAATGTACTTTGAGCAACTTAATAAGCAAAGCTGAGCACCTTTTATAACCTAATTTTAGTTTTACCTAAATTTCTAGGTACGGCCAGCTTCGTTCGGTAAAATGAGTCTAGAACAGGGATAATTGCCAAAAAAAGGTATAAACACATCGTACATATGTTAACTCAATCCTGAACCTTTTTTATTTAAAAAAAATTATTCACGTCAGCACCGGCATTTCTGCGTAGGACGGCCGGCGTCCACAATTGGCCGGAAGAAAAACATTAACAAATTCATCAAAAGGTTGAGGACTAATTGGTAAAATCGATCGTTAAATTGGCATCCGTACAATAGATTTACGACTATTTTGGTATTTTTCCCGTTTAGAATATCATATGTCATAATCCAATATGACCACTCTCTTTAGCATTGTAGGTTCGATCAATGCTATGTTTTTGGAGCTGATGAGTTCGTATGATTCCATAAGCCTCCTGTTCATCCTATCCAGCTTCCTCAACTTGCAAGCCCTAAATAAAGTCCCGAACACATCCCCTGTGATCACCGCCTTTCTATTGTGTCAACGGTTCGGTTCAGGTCGGGTTTCTATTATACCCAACCTCAACCGAAACATAAGACTTTGTGCCTATCCCAACCCGAAGCGTGACCGACCGGAATAACCCAAATACCTAGACATGGGTCCGACATTCGATTCTGTACCTCATAGATGACCATCCATGCATACATCAATGTGTAGTTATCAGAAAGCCTTGACGGGGACATAACCAGCTGGGACGCAAGAATCATCATTACTGATGCTTGCTGCATCTTTTCCCCAGAAGAAAAAGAACAAACTCCGGAAAACACTTTTCAGGATTCAAAACTTCCGGATCGGCTAGACTACTCCAACATCATGATGCACTCTTTTGAGGAGATTTTATTATCATTCGAACTGATCATTTCAAAGGCTTGATATCAATGCAGTAAAGGCCAATTTGATGGTATATCTTCCCAAGCAAAGGTGAGCTTGTGCTGATAAAGCTGCCGGTATTTCAAATAATATGGATCGCCCAGATACAGTGGTAACAGAACCTATCAAACATCCAAGAGCTCTCCACAGCAAGAAGACATAAGTAATAAGGGAAGAAAGAAAGGGTATGTGACTTATCAATGTAGCAAACCGATCAAAACTGGGAAACGACACAAAAGAAACCATCCTCGCCCACTATCGAAAACTTGAATGGAACTCAGATCAATCCATACTGAATTGAGGTTGCAAAGCATTTACAACTGTAATTTGTAAGCCTTGCCAAATCAAAAACTTTAAGTTTTGTCCCTCTATCAACACTTTTGCTCCTGCAATGCAGAAATGCAACTTCATTATGTCCCCAAATGAGGGGTTTAATCACAAGGACACTTTGCTCCCGTGTGTTTCGTAGATCCGTCCACATATTTGAGTCGATTTCATACCATCTTATGCACGCCTAATTCGGTTGTGATCCCAACTCGACCTAACTAGTCGCTCGTTAATAAGCTCGGCTAGTCTATGCATGGCACGACCGACGGTTCTTGTTTTCGCGGTCTAATCCCCTGGTCGTGCCGTAATCCCCTGTGTCAACACATACGCCCAAACCGGACACGAACTTCCGTTCTCTGATCACGTAACGTAATCACATTGGAAAAAAAAAAAAAACCCAAGTGTATCGTGGTACAATGTATTTTTCTGATTGATTATACGTATGTAATGGGGGCAAATTCGACGGGGCTTATCTCGTCCGATAACCCAGCCAGACCCGACCCGACCTGATCAGTCCAGGTCCAGTTCGTTTCCCGGGGCCTGGTTCGCGGCTGCTTCTCGGCAGGGGGAAGGAAACCCGGGGGCCGGTCAAAAGAGAACGGTCAAACGAAACCCGAAATGAGCACGCGTACCACTCGGAACGAGCCGAGCCGGCCCCGCCGAGCCGCCGCTGTTCAGCCGCCGGTCTTCCGCGGATGAGCAATCGGAGGATCTGGAGCCGGCTCGAGCCGCCGCCGCCGCCAGGTCCAGGTCGGCGAGCCTTCGAGGAAGCACCGGCCGGCGGTGGGACCCCCCGCTCGGCCCCGCCTCTGTCCCCCACCACCACTCCCCGCTCACTTCCTGACTCGCTCTGACTCGCCCTGACTCGCTCGCCCTTTTTAACACGACCCGCCCTTCTTCCTCCACTTGATCTCCCCCACCACCACCACCAGCAGCTCACTCCTCAGCCACACACACACACAATTCAGCTCTCCGGCGAGAAACCCACCAGCGCTCGGGCAGAAAAGGCGCGACCTTTGATCGGTTCCGGTCCGATGAGCCTGTGGACGGACTACGACGACGCCTCCGCCACCGACCTCTCCCCCTTCTGGCCGCAGCCGCAGCCGCAGCCGCCGCAGCCGCAGCCGGCCACCCCCCCTCCCCCCCCGCCGGCGCTGCTCAACCAGGAGTCGCTGCAGCGGCGACTCCAGGCCCTGATCGAGAGGGAGGGGGGAGCGGCGGCGGCGTGGACCTACACCATCTTCTGGCAGTCCTCTGGGGACTACGCTAACCCGGTCCTCGGTTGGGGCGATGGGTATTACAAGGGCGATACCAAAGCCAAGGGCAAGGCCACCGCTTGCTCTCCGGCCGAGCAGGAGCACCGCAAGAGGGTCCTCCGCGACCTCAATTCGCTGATTTCCGGGTCCGCGACCGCCGATGATGCGATTGAGGAGGAGGTGACCGACACCGAGTGGTTCTTCTTGCTCTCCATGACCCAGTCGTTCGCCCATGGCTTGGGGTTGCCGGGTCGGGTCTTCTTCAGCTCGAATCCTCTGTGGGTCTCGGGGGCCGACAGGTTGGCGAGCTGCGGGTGCGAGAGGGCTCGGCAGGCGCAGGTCTTTGGGTTGCAGACCATGGCGTGTGTCCCCGTGTTGAACGGTGTGGTCGAGCTGGGTTCCACCGAGCTGATCTTCCAGAGCTCCGATCTGATCAACGGAATTAGGGGGCTATTCAATTTCCACGATCCGGAAATGGGTTGTGGTAGTAGGGTTTTGAACTGCGAGAATGACCCGACCTCACTTTGGATCTGCGATCCGCCGGTCGCGGTGGAGATCGACAATCGTTCTATGACGTTTCAGATAGAGAACCCCAGCTCGAGCAGCCTTACCGAAAGCCCCACGGCGATCTGCACGAGAAATGATCAGCAGGGCGGCCAAAACCAGCAGCAGAATGAGGGGTTTTTCGCGAAAGAATTCAACTTTGCGGAATACGCGATTAATTCTAGTAGCAGAAGCAATGGAGATTCTCATCCTATGAAGCCAGAATCTATTGAAGTACTGAATTTCGGAGACAGTGGGAGCGGAAGGTTGCTTTCGGGTCATTCGCAGGTCGCGGTTGCCGAGGAGACCACGAAGAAGAAGAAGAAGAGGTCGGCTACTTCAATCGGTAGCAATGAAGAAGAAATGATGTCCTTCACTTCTGGAGTGATTGTGCCTTCTTCAGGAATGTTGAAATCGGTCAGTGGAGCGGGGGATTCGGATCATTCGGATGTTGAAGCCTCAGTGGTCAAGGAAGTCGAGAGCAGCAAAGTCGCAGAACCTGAAAAGAGGCCGAGGAAGCGGGGTAGAAAACCTGCAAACGGGAGGGAGGAGCCTTTGAACCACGTTGAGGCAGAGAGGCAGAGGAGGGAGAAGCTTAATCAGAGGTTTTACGCCCTCAGGGCCGTGGTTCCGAATGTATCGAAGATGGATAAGGCTTCACTGCTCGGAGATGCGGTGTCCTATATCAAGGAGCTTAACTCGAACCTACAAGCTGCAGAGTCCGATAAGGAGGATTTGCAGAAGCAGCTGGATGAACTAAAGAAGCAATCATCGAATAAAGAATGTATCGTGTTGGAGCAAGATCGCAAAATGGCAAAAGCTACAGGAAGTAGGTCCACTGAAGTGGCAATCGATGTGAAGATAATGGGATTGGATGCGGTGATTCGAGTAGAGAGCGGCCGGAAGGATCATCCTGCGGCAAGGTTGATGGTGGCTCTTCAAGAATTGGACTTGGAGTTGCAGCATGCTAGTGTTTCTGTGGTGAACGAGCTCATGATCCAGCAAGCCACAGTTAAGATGGGGAGTCAGTTCTACACTCAGGAGCAGCTCAAGGCGGCTCTATTGGCCCAAATCTGAGTAACTTTGAAGGATTTCGTTCTGTGCAAGTTGGCATCGACTAGACAATGGAATTGAAGTTTCTCCATTGAAAGCGAGAACCTGCGCAATATTTTCAGGTTCCGGGTGGTGCGAACTCTTTGATCAACGAGCTTTGTTTAGTTGTGTTGTTGTTTCTGGTAGATTAAACCCCTAGATTGCAAGTTGAAGTAAATAGCCTAGTTCTAGCAGATAGCAGTTTTTTCACGTTCATCTCCTGCCTGTCTTCGATGTAAATAGATGTTCCAAATTTGAAACTGATGAGAGCTGTTTCCTCATCCTTTGTTGGCTTGTTCTGCTGTTTGTTGGGTTCAGCCAGGATCATGTCTCTTGTACACCAAGCATCCTGTAATCAATGGGCAAGTGTGGCACGGTAAATTTAAAACTGTCTTCCTGTCAAAGTTGTGAGAGTCGATTTCGGTAAATCAAGGACTACTATCATGATTGTGTGATGGTGTTTGGGATAGACATTTAAGGTTGCTCATAGCGCAACCTCCTGAATTTGTGATATTCTGTTGAACTCTTCTTGTGTCCTTGCATGATGTTGGGTTTGTTTCCTTTTTCTGAGATGTGCAAGTAATGAGCATATAATAGTTTTTGGTCATTTGGAGCTTTACTATATTGATTCTGTAGATTGTATTTGGTAGATGATGATTGGCATTTACTTTCAAATGGACTGACAGAACATAAGCATGTGCATAATTCTTTGGGCTCTGGCATGGTGACTTACATGAGCTCTCCCTCTGGTCCAATTACCCCCCAATTATCATCCTTCTCGGACATGACCAAAACTGCTGAGAAAGAAGATCTTACCGACCATTCAATCTGATGCACGGCTCACTAATTTAATGCAGTATTAAAAAGCATCATCAACCATTCAATCTGATGCACGGGTTCTTATTAACTTGGTTTTTCTGTCCCTCTCTTCACGGTTGAATCACGAGCCTGTCATGGCCAATGCCCACGTAATCGTCACTCGTTGATTGATTCCCCTTTTTTCTGTACCTTTTCCTATCCAAGGCAAGAGAGAGTGATTAAAACAAAAGAACTTCCTGTACTTCTTTTGGCGGATGCATAGAAGTTTGCCACTAAAAGTGTCCAAATGCAGTGTCCTGGTGTGAAACCTCCAGCCAAAAAGGTTGATCTAATGACCTATGCTATGGAGTACAAGATTCCTTGGCATTATTGCCTTGTGCCCTACAAATTCGAAAAATTGGAATCATGGTATTTGAGAGCCCCGGTGTTTTTGCATTATGTTAATGATAGTTGGCAGGCTGTGCAGATGCCGGTATGTTTGATTTTGAGCAGTATGAGCTGCTTTATAGGAGGCAAAGAAAGAGCTGATGGCCAAAAGAAGAGGAGTTGGCACGAATCTAAAATTTCCAAATTGAGGCATGAGTTGTTTGCCACCCTAAACTTTATTAATGGTTCAGCTCATTTCTAGGGATCAAAATGAATGAGAATCAATGCAAAACAGCCAAAACAGCAAAAACAACAGCAGCAGCAACAGCAAAAACAAAGAATCATCATCCACAAAGTAATTTGCCCCTCCTCACTTGATCTTTTTTCATTCACCTCTTTGTAGTTCTCAAGATCCCTCTCCATTTCTCCTTTCTCCCATAATGGCTTCAATCTCATTCGCGTGAGAAAACTCTCATTTCTCTCCAATCGAACCACCCTCTCTTTCATATAAGACTTTCCCCGCCTCCCCCGCGACCCATGAGCCTCAATTGCCTCATCTGCCAGGGCGGGCAACGGACGGACTCGGACCTCGATTACCGATGTGCCGGGGAGGATAAGTGCTGCGATAGGCTATGCGGCATGACGGTCGAGAGGAATTGGTCCGGCCCTCTGACCCCGCCGCCTTATGAGCACATCGGGAGCGGGCATCTGATCGGCGGGCCCTCGAAGGGCGCGAAGGGCCGGCACCGCAGGCTGCACAGCTCCGGGCCCATGGCCTTCGGCGGGAGCCGGGTTGTGGGGCCGGCGGGGGAGCCGAGGCTGGTCCGGAGCTGGGGGATGAGGAGGGATTGGAGCTTCGAGGACTTGGCACAGAGGAGGGACGGGAAGAGGCGGGACGAGACCGTGTGTTAGAATTGATGTCCATTGACTATAAAAATCCATAAATCTCATGTTGTAGCACTTCGTTCTTCTTCTTCTTTTTTCCCATTTTGGTTGCCTCATTGCTCGTTTTAGTGATGTGTTTGACGTGTCTAGGTGAACATGTTTCTTTGTTTGGACCAGCAATTCTACGGAAATTTGTACAAGTGAAAGCACTCACTATTTTAGGGGTGCATTATGCACAAAAGGAAAGCAAAATGACGAGAGATTTATCGAGTTACTCATATAAACGATTGAAAAAATATTGAAGATTTTTTTTCAAATATATGTTGATTGTAAGAACCTATCAGAATATCCAAAAATCAATTTCAAATTTTAAACTGGAAAACACAAGGAAAGAGAGGAGCGTTGCCGTGTTAGGCATGAAGAGTTTTGTTGAATTTGAAGATGAGAAGTTGACGGCAGGTCAAATTCATCATTCATGATGCTACAAATCACATGCACCCGTAGAAAATGTTGAATGGTTCCACAACGCCACGTCAGCAGCTGACGTGGTGAGCATTTTTCCCTCTCATCCACCCGCAAATCTGACACGTGTCCACTGACTTGAAATTAAGTAAAAAAGAAGAAAATGGGAATCGAGGTCAGGGAAGATCGAGCCCGATCGGATCTGGCCAATGACACCGCTGGTCCGTGATCGGCCGAAACCTCTCCTCTCTCAGCATCTTGACAGAGAAATTCCACATCGATGTTTTTTTTTTATTTAATTTCAAGACCCGTGTCAACGTTTAAGCGGATACGAACCGCAAAATGCTTGCCACATCAGCTACTAGTGTGGCGTCGGGAACCACCTAATAATTTTCGCACTTACATGAACTCCTCCGTTAGCTTCACATGCTAAAATGCCGATACAAGCCTTTCATGCCTGAGCGGATACGAGCTTGTTATTGTTCCTTCTCTAAAATTACAGACCAAACGCATCCATGTTCTGGATTTCTCTTTCGTTGTTATCTATTGATGAAGTCATGCTAAGCACGTCGGGGTGGTGGCGCAGTTGGCTAGCGCGTAGGTCTCATAGCTTCTGAGTTATCCTGAGGTCGAGAGTTCGAGCCTCTCTCACCCCATTACATCCATTTTTACTTTTTCTTTTTCTTTTTTTTTTTTACATTCTTAAGTTTTATATGCTCCTGTAATACTATATAAGACTCTTTGAAAAAACCTAGATGCAACTACAAATTAACAAACATTCCATGCTCAGAATAGGAATGTATAGCTATCGATTGAAAATTTTAATAAGATGTAGCAATCCAATCCTACGCAGGCGATGACCACAGATCGCGTTGGATTTTAGCTATTCTTTAACGTGATTAGAAATAACGCAGCTTGTCTTGTTTAGTATTTCATGATCGATTGAGCGGATGGACGACGTCGTATATTGCTGGAGCATGAACAGATATCTGCATTTGCATACCTACCCAGTAGAATATGTATGTTCTTGTTTACTGTTACCAAAATTCTTCATCTGACTTTGGCTTAAAAAAATGTCTCAAAAACATCCCATTCTAGTCTGTATATATATATGTGTGTGTGTGTGTGTGTGTGATTGGATCTTCACCTCAGTTGCCTCCCATATGAAAGCTCTTTGTTTAAATATAGTAGTCTATACCCAAATGGCTTCTAGCTACTAACTTCAAAACCTAGCTTTGTTGACTTTATTGCAGAGGCTTTCTCATGAACTGTGCTGGATAATCATTAAGAAATAAATCGATAACGATGTCGAGCAACCAAAACGGAACGAGGCGACGACTAGTTTAATCTCTTTGAACGAAAATAAATTAGGGTTTACGTGCCCAATCCCCACTTCGCTTTGGGTACAAGGTTTGCGTGTTCGAAGCGAACAGCTGCCGAATGAACACTAGTGCTGCTAGTTTAATATTAATCGCGCTCCTTTTCACCCTTCTTGACTGGTTCATTCAGTCGCGTACGTAAACCCAGAACATGTTCGTGCTTCGATCTTGTGAACGATGATGTTGCCCTACCCTTTTCTTCTTGAATGCCAAAAGAAAGGAACGATGCAAGAACGAACTGGTCAAAGTCTTTGCGGGCATGGAAGTGTCTTGCAAGACAGGGTATTTCCTCCCCCGAGAGACTCTAGAAATGTCAACATTTGACCCTCCCAAAAAAATGACAGAATGCTTTGGGTCCAAAATTGATTAGAAAGCAGATTCGTCTCTCCAAATTGTGAAGGGAAATTAAGGGGAGAAAGAAAAAAAGGAAATGGGTTTTTTTTGGCTAGGGGAAAACCTTGATCATATCTTATAATGAGAAATTTAAAACTTTAGAATCATGAGGGAAAAAGCAGAAATAAAAATCATGAGAAAAATTGAGCCTCTGCTGAGTGCATGGTGCACCATTCCAATTTCGCATGAAACACGAGTTCATGATGATAACATTGTGCCTAACTTTGGACTATCTGTAAAGTTAATTTTCTTTGGCTATTCTGACCATCTTGTAACAAATTTCCTCGGAAAACCTCATTTTCTTTGTAATGAACCTAATTCACAATGCCAGCTTGAGGCTAATATTAATGTGATGCTTATCCTTGTTGGTGCACTTGGAACTTTTGCTGAAGTTCTTGGTCCCATTTTTCTTCTCGCTAGATCATTTCAAATTAATAGTAACCATTTGAGGATGGATGTTGACTTATAAAACATATGACAGAGCCCCTCTCATCTAATGTGAGACTTAGGAGGTCGCAAAATTATGGTTGTCAAGCAATATTCTGTGAAAGCAAATTAAAATTAACATTTCATTGTATACCCTCTTTCTTGTTATCGATGTGTTGGATATATCAACACGCATGAATTTCGCCTTACTATCGAATGGAAACCAAATGCAGGTTAACAAAATGTATCTTGTCATAGCGTCCTTTCAAACTTGTAACCTCCATGCTTACTAAGAACATGATAGATGGAGTTCATGAAATATGTCGAGACTAATCCAATTCATTGATTAAAGTCACACGGTTGCAACACTTAAACCAAGATTTACGGGGCGTTACGAACATTTACATCAAGCATGGCTTTCATTATCGAGAAAGAGAGCGAGATCAAAATGAACATTCGTTATTATTTTTTTTTTTTTCATTCTTCGCATCTCATCTAGGGAAAATGACCCAGATGGTCCACAAAATCTGATATAATATGTAATGCCGCCCCTGAACTTTTAATCCGATCAATTGGATCCTTAAATTTTCAAATATTTTCATATAATTTAAGAATTACATTAATATTTACTAATAGTTCATGGATCATTTGTACTATTATCCTTCCATATATCATGTAGAACGTGGGAAATCAATGCAACAAAAATAGGTGTTAGGTGGTTCCTAATGGTCATTCCCAGGGTCCACCGACCCCGTCACACGTTGACTCAGTAGGGGCATTCTTACAGGGTACATGCACAGTGAGTTTTTTGGAAGTAAGAAGGGAAAGGAGGATTTTCTGTTTGTCAAGAATCCGAAAGTGGTAGGAAAATGGAAACGGGCGGCGATAATTCCGTATGGATTGACCGAGGGAAAGGGGAACGAAGACTTGCAAGACTCTCTCTCTCTCTCTCTCGTTCGTGCGTAGCTTCGTCGTAAGCTGCGAATGAATGGAGCTTCGACCCCACACAAGCGCACCACGTCCCGGCCTCGCTCTCGCACCGTTTGTTCCTATCTCTTTCACACCCCCACCTAAATTATCATTCATTTCGTTGTTCGCCCTCTCTCTCTCCCTCCCTCTCTCGTCCCCCCAATCCCCCAGCTCTAGGGTTTCCCCCCAGCTCTCTCTTACACAGGCCGGGCGGCGTGGGAAGTAACGAGATTCGTTTTTTTTTTGGCCAATTGAAGGCCCAAGAACGCTTTTTGATCTTCGCTTCTGGCTTCGGGCGCAAGTGGGTCTTTGGAGTTTGTCGGGTTCTTGCTACCAACCGAGGTTAGAATCTTGGTCGTGTTCCTACGATTCAGCTCTTTTTAGTTTTCGGTTTTTGGGGGGTTAGAGAGATTTGGATGTTGTATGCTCGTGTGATTAGGCTGGTGGTGTGCGGAGCTCGAGTTTGATTCTTTGCTTGCTGACTGGGGGGAAAGGTGCTTGGAGGCTTTTTTAGTTTCTTGGTGGGTGCTTCCGATATTGGCGATGTGTAGAGCTGTGGAGCTGAATCAATCTGGTCGGTGAATACCCAGTGAAAATGCTTGCACTTTAAGCGTTATATAGCCCTGTGTGCCGTGGCTTATGAATGGTTAAGCATCCCGGGAACGGGAGCTTGGTGAGAGATTGAGGAGCGTGTTGCTTCGAGTGAATACAATTTTGGGATCTCGAAGATGGACAACTCTAGGAACAAGCCGAATGATCATTTGGGTGTGAACAAGATCGGCAAGAACATAAGGAAGAGCCCATTACACCAGCCGAATTTTGCCAACACCAATAACACCACCACCACCACCAACAACAACAACAACCCAAATAATGCCGCCAGGCAACAGCCGCAGCCTCAAGTTTACAACATCAGCAAGAACGATTTCCGCAGCATTGTTCAGCAATTGACGGGTTCCCCTTCACAAGATCCCTTGCCTAGACCTCCCAACAATCCCCCGAAACCACAGAGCATGCGGCTGCAGAAGATTCGCCCACCGCCCTTGGGGCCTATGAACAGGCCCCTTATTCCCCCTCCAGCTGCAGTTCCTGCGGCTCCACCTGCGGTTCCCTACAACAACAGCTTCGTCAGGCCTCCTCAATTTGGTCAGCTGTCGCCAACACCTTTGCCGCCTATGGAACCTCGGGACCCATATATGCAGAACACAACCGAGTCTCCTATCTCTGCATACATGCGATACTTACAGACTTCAATGTTAGATCCTAGTCCTGTTGGAATCCAAGCTCCACCTCATTTACCACAGCAAGTTCCAGGTCAAGTTCAGAATAATCCACCGCTATCTGGTTTGCTTCGCAATCCACCTCTTCCTGGACCAAGAATGAACGGTCCAATGCCACCTATGCCAAATTTTCCTTCTCCTCAGATGAATGGTCCCGCACTTTTGCCCTCTCCGACTTCTCAATTCCTCCTACCATCGCCAACCAGTTACTTGAATTTGTTGTCTCCAAGATCGCCATACCCTTTTTCGCCTGGGTTCCAGTTTCCTCCCCCTTTTACGCCCAACTTTTCGTTTTCGCCGGGCACTCAGACAGGGATTTTGGGCCCAGGTCCTCAGCCACCACCTTCACCTGGGCTTGCATTTCCGCTGTCTCCTTCGGGCTTCTTCGCAATCCCAAGCCCAAGGTGGAGGACATAATACTTTTTATTTGTTTTTGAGCAAAATTGCAGGCTGAAAGTTCCACGCTGAAGATCTTCGCTGTGATGGATCTGGTGCTTTCACCATGTATACTATGGATTCATCTGCTTGTGGAAGCTTCCACTGTGAAAAATTTATGTACGATTGTCATGTAAGGGGTTCTGCGTAATTTGAAGTCCTTTTTGTGTATGTTCATTTCCTTCACTTTTGCCTGTATTGACTCCCATTTTGTAGCTTTTTCTTTATTCCCGGTGACTTGGATATAGTAACAGCTGCAAAAGTTTAATTTAGCCGGTCGACAAGTTCACTTTAGGTGATATAGGAAAATACATCATGCAAATGGCAATTTGGCAGTGTGTAGTATGAAAGGCTGACTTCAATCAAAATGGAGGTAGGAATTAGGTCCTGTACTGAGCAGAACTCCAGTCTTGTTGTAATAATACTGATATAGTCTTTGTTTCCATTAGATCTACTCTTCTTTTGATTGGTCCATACCTCGAATTTTTACTGTTGTGTTGGTCTTAATTCCCTTCGTGGTAATTATGATTCCATTGTTCCTTCAAATGACTTGTATTCACGTCATCTTTGCGTTTTCTAGCTTCCTACTGTTCTATCTTGATAGATATTCACAAAGTTAAATAAGAGAATGTAGATGAACAATTATTTAGCTTTCATCTTTTAGTAACTGCAAGTATAGGGAGGTGCAAGGTAGACATAAGACCTGAAACCTCCCGATTGTTGATCAGGCATAAACCACTCTTAGGCCATGCCTTCCTCCTGTGTTCTTATCAGCATAGAAATGAGTTATTCGAGCATTGAAAAAGGTATATCTAATTTGTTTTAATGAAGAAAGGATAGGGTCAAGGGTGAGAAACTAGCAATTATTGGTCTCCAGTAGAAGTAGTTTTAGATTACCTGGTATTCGCAGCTCTGGCCACTCAAGCTTCTTAGAGCCCCACTGTGTCTGGATCAAATTGAACTGAAATCTTGGTCTCCTTCAAGTGAAACTTCTTTCCTTGTGTTCGACTGATTTTGAGGAAGCAAAGTTTATTCTCATTTGACACTATGCATTGGCCATTCCATCTTGTGCTTTGGTCTTTAATGTGTATGCTATAGTGGCTAGCTATGTCGAAACTTCTGTTGTAGTACTGCCAACATGTTTAAGCGGATAGAAGATATTTCTCTATATCTGGGATCGATGTGATTATGTTAAATTTCTTGCGTACAAAGTATGTCTTCTGCTCCTGGATCTTTTGCAAAATGAGTGCCTCTTCTATCTGGGTGTGAGGCCTTGGCAGTGCTTCATGTCGACGTATGTAAATGTACCGAGTCTGCTGGCTCTAACATTTTGAGATGCAGTTTAAGCTTCGGTATTTGTATGCTTATATAGATAAATATCGCCTAGGGCATGCGACTAGCTCGCACTCCTAGCGTAGGCAATATGAATTTGCATGTGTTTTGACGAGTCACGCAGCTCTTCTTAGAAACTTTTGGCTCTGAGTCTTGTGAAGAGTTCGTTGTGGTGTTTACTGGTGGACTAGGCTGTGAGTGCCTGAGGCCATCATTTGCACTTACCAATGGCACACGTACAACCGGGTGGCTTTGATCTTTCATTCAGGTGATTAGGCTTCCAGGCCTTTGAACGGAAGGCAGGGACATTTAAGATGTGCCTCGGAACTATCTTTTGACTAGTGTTTCTTAAACTAAGCCGATATGCAGTGGTTCAGAATGTTCTCATCTTCGCGAAGATTGGCACGTCCTACGAATTCGGGTTCTTAACTTGAGGAAGCCTGCAGTGAGTCCTATGACTCTTCAAGGCATAGGAGAACCGAAAGAACGATTTCTTGCAATTTTATGCCAGCTCTGTGTGCTGCATAGACCCCTTATCCAGCATGAAGTGAGCAAGAACATTGCACTGGCTTTGCCTGAAGTTGATTCTTTAGGTTCAGTTCAAATCAATGAGCAGGTCTCGTGCAAGCCAGGACCATCGTTTTGGTTGGTAAAATGCTTCTCTTTTGGACGGATAGATGCTGGGGCGGCTTCAGATTTCGCTCCAGGAAGAAGAACGCCATTTGATCGTACCACTAGAGGATAATTCTACGAAAGGAAAAATGATACAAAAGGTCCTAGAACTTTGGTCCATGATGTAATGTCGTTCCTGAGCTTTTAATTTATTCAATGTAGTCTCTGAACTTTAGTCCAATATGCAATGGTTTCTGAACTTTTGGTACATGTATAATCTAGTTTTGAAACTATATGAAAATGTTCAATGTTGTCATTCCATTATTTTAAGTTTAAGAACAACATTGAATATCTTGCTATAGTTCAGGGAGTAGATATACCAAAAGTTCAGCGATCATATTGAATAACTTAAAAATTCATGGACGATATTGCACAATTAAAATTCATGGATCACATTGAATAAATTATAAATTCATGAACGGCCTTGCCCAAAGTTCAAAGATCATTAGGGTAATTATCCATTCTGCAAATAATGCTTTCCACACATATTTCATATCCATTTTGTCTTGGGCCGTGATTGTGTCTATGGGGCCATGGGCTGGATTGGTCAGAGGAAGAAGTCTTTCTATATTTCGTTCGTTTTTATTTAGTCAAGACTTTTGCACTCAGTTTGAATCGAATGACCGGAGGGATCAGAGAAGAAAGAACATTTGTAAAAAGTGTATTTCGTTTGGTAGGAGGATGGAGATATGAGGGATTCGGAGGCATCACACTCCCAAGTTTTCTCGCCTTTTCTAGTCTCCTCAAAACCACTTCAAATCTCGACAGATTTCAAGTAATCGTAGGGGAAGCATAAATATTTTTTTTTTTCTCTTTTATGTGTCTAATAAAATAAACCGTCTCTACTAACTCGTCAATGTTCAGAACCCATATTGAATCAATTAAAAGTTCAGGAATGATAATTGCGCATTGACCCAGAATTCAGGGACCAGTCATGTCATTTTCTCTTCTCGAAATTAATTAACACCGCCCTAAAAACGGGCTTTCGTGCAATTAAACACAGTTAGAGGGACGTGTTCACAGGGACGTTGAAAGAGAGAGATTTCGAGAGAGCGAGAGAGTGGCACCCACATGACAAAAACCACCAAAAAGCAACTCTCTTTTCCCCATTAATTCCTTCCCCCCCCAATATGCGCCGTCTCATTGGCTAATCCTAGACTTTTCTTTCTCCTCATGGGGCTCCACCTTTTTTCTTTGCCCATCCAAAAGGACCAATTGGTGGCTAAAGAGATAGCAAAAAAAAAAAATATTTTGCATTAAAACTAGGGCAAGGAATCTTGAAAAACCCACCAATCAAAAAAGCTGGCTTTTGTAGCTTCTTCCCTTTTCATTTTCATTGTCCTTCCCCCACTTTTATTGCATATTCAAATCAACAAGTTGACAGACAAAGAAGAAGCAATATCTGTATAAGCAACCAAGTTGGCAACTTGCGAAAACTTTTGCTTTGAATAGCCATTTCGCCTACCAAAGAGAAAAAGGAAAGAAAAGAGAAGGTGGTCGCTGTCATCACTCGAGACTTTGCTTATCATGGGGTTAACTGCTCTTCCGAAAGTCTTCACGTGGTCTTCAATATTCAAATGCTTCCCCTCTCCAAAATTATGATAATTGAAGTCGACCGACATGAGAAATCTATGATCGGTATTCTTCCGCGTGTGCATTTGAACTCGTTCGGATGTACTGAATCGAGTTTCGAAGAAACAACCGCCGGGATTGGCGCTGGCTTTCGTTTCGAAAAAAAAAACGATAGAAAGCTCTCTATCTCTTTGCATGCGCCGCGATCAGTCCCGTCCAATGAATTAGTCCGATTTTACTTTCGAAAAGCGGCGGACAGGATTAATTTGCGCATTTTTTCCTTTTTGTTGGGTATGATTGCTTTTGTGTGTAGATGAATGGATATTCTGAAAAGCAATTCGACAGCTGCGGAGAGACTTGCTTTGGCATCCATCTCCTCGCACAGAAGGAGGTGGTGGACCACCTCACCAGCCCTCGCCATCCAATCGAAGTGATGAATAAGATTCTGAACTCGCGGATAATGCTTCTGACCTTTTCTTGTCCAAGAATAAAAGTCTCTCTCTCCCATCACAAGAAACGGGAGCTAGTATCAATCAATGGCTGAAGCTACCTTCAGACATTTCGATCCTGCAACTCAAGATGCGCATGCACGAGGGAAGAGATTGATGGCAGTAAGAAGTGGATGTCCATTTCCTACGGTTGAAAAGAAAAGGTAAGTTTCGCGAAGTAGGTGCTCAGATAGTTGCTTATCGAGCTCGAACGAACCGGGCAGACGTAAAGGGGCACGGCAGCATGAGCTTCGACGAACGCCAAAGCGCTGCGCACTTGAGCCGGTTTCAAAGTGAGATGCGACGCGATGGTCATCCGTTTGCTGCCATGGAGACCAAAGGAATGGTAATGTGGATTGTGGGTCGGCATCAGCAGCAAAATGACATGAAAGAAGTTGACGATCTGGGATAAGATTCCGAAAAGTCTTTTGGCAGACTTGGATAATGTTTCTTGATTCATGCGCGGGACCCCAGATCTAAGTATTAGTGCGACAGATCTCCCCCTACTTGCCATATGCATAAATGTGTACCACATCACTGCCAGCTATCGAACATTGTCTGGAGTCCGAAAAGCAATTTATGCTTGCTTCTGCCTAATTCAAGCAAAAAGGACGCCTCTCTCTCTCTCTCTCTCTCTCTCTCTCTCTCTCTCTCTCTGTTTCTTCCTTTCTTCCACATTCCTATCTATTACCCAAGGGGGTCGTTCTTGTTTTGGATAAGTGCCAAACAACTCTTCAAAGGTGAAGTCGATGTCCGACGGAAGACCAACAACTGCTGAGAATGTAGGGCCATGGAGAATAATGCATCGAGACATTGATCAACAAATCAAAGCACACCCTCAACCGGACAATCTTGCTTCGCGACAAGGATGAGATTTTCGATTCAGAGGATAATGGCGGTTAGTCGGACGGAGGAGTATTCAGTTGCGGGCTCAAAGACCTAGCTTTATTATCAAGCGGTGGCGAACGATGTGCTTTACAAGATTTAGGCCGAGAGCATCAAGGAGTCGGGCGGTGCAATGGCCCCTACCGACCACCCTCGGTTCATCCGTTGAAAGTATTGTCTATCGTTGCGCGAGATTTATGGAATCTTACAAACAAATACAGATCTCCAAGAGAGCAAAAAAAAGAAAAGAAATGAGAGAATTTGGATTGCTTCATTAGTTTCGAATCTAACATTTGGACATTGGGAACTCCGTGTGCATGATGTTGGGACGTGGACAGTACAAACAGCTGCCATCCAATTAACAACTCAAGCTTAGCTCGAGAATCAATTAACGATCAGAGATGTTACACAGTCCAGTCGTAAAAGACCCTTCTTCGTGGACTTATGATACAGGTTACTACCCCACCAGTCACCACCAGAGCATCAAATCACAGCATCGACCGGACCGTACTCGTCGTGCGCGATCGTATGAGTTCGCGATTCTAATGTCTCTAATTAGTCTTTACCAATTAGGCCTCGAGGCATCAAAGCCTTCTCTCTCTTTTTATCCTTTTGAACCTGTGATGATTCCCCGAAACGGAAGAAGATGCGAGAAGGACGGAGGAGACTTACCAGAAACAGGCCCTTTTTTCTGAACATTTCCTTGCCTTTTCAGCTTCCCTAGAAATTCCGCACTTCAAACACTGCTGACCCCAAATGATGTCCTCTCTCTCTCTCTCTCTTTCTCTCTCTCTGTGTGACCCACAAGAGGCCAAAGAAAGAACGACACTGATGGTACACCACTGTCTAGGTCGTACCCACAGATTCTTCTGCTCCAATTTAAACAAATTCGGTTGTCCAAACTTTCAGCATTTCACACCCGTTTCCATCTCCAAGCGGGCGCTGTCCCCGTTTCTCGGGGAAAGAATGGACGAGATATATAGCTAGCAATTGTGAAACACCTTCGATGTCAATGCTAACCCAGATCGACCAAATCCACTAATGGTATCTTTGTGTCATTAGTTCTGGACTTCTAGCCCACTTCACAAGTGAAAAGAGAGCAGTAAAGATTGAAACTTGACGCAATCATTCACATGCATGTATAAGTATAAACCTTTGAACCTACCCAGGAAGGACAACTCCATATTACAGCAGTTAAAAACATCCGTTTGGTCACGCTAACAACCACACCACGTGATGCACACTAACAACAGCGACCAGAAACAAGAAACCACTACCATCATCATAACAGAAAAAGGTTTTAGAAAGCAAGAAAAGCAAGACCCTTCTTTAATCCAGATGATCTTGATTCTTGAGAGCTTCAATTTTGGTTTCCACAGCGGAAAGAATTTACAGAAACAAGCAATATACCCTTCATGAACATTTCTGTACACATTGCGTCCCTCTGACTAATCTAAAACCAAATCTGCATTGCGCTTTGACTTTGATCCTTGATTTCTCACTAGTTTCTCTGCCTCAACGCCCCAAATGCGACCAGACTCTCACGAAAACCAGCTCCATCTCAATCTCACTCGCTCACGTGTGTGTCTGTATAGGGGAGAGAGGTCAAGAAAGCAAACGAAAAAGAGCTTCGCATCTCGTGAATCCTTTTCCAGAAAAAAAAAAAATTTCACGGGAAGAAAAAAGAGGGACTATCGTGGGGGAGGATCTTTTCTTTGGATGTTTGCCTGAGCGTCCGCCGCGTCACTGCCGGTCGCCAGCCATTCCTTCGGCGATGGACGCCAGCTTCTGCAGGTTGAGCCTCACGACGGTGTCGGCGAAGAGGCGCGTGTCCTCCTCCGTGTTCCCCTCCGGCACGTCCACCACGTACGACTCCATCACCGCGGTCCAGATCTCCCCCTCCCCCTCCCCCCTCCCCCCCATCTCGTGCACCGTCGTCACCGACCGGTAGTTCCTCAGCCGGTGGTCGCCGCCGATGATGCTGAACCCGGCCACGCAGCGCTCGTCGTCGAGCACGTCGAGCCGCTCCGTGCTGGTCGCCGCCGGTAGGCCGGAGATGACGCTGACGTCGCGGGTCGACCCCACGGCGAGCGCGGAGCCCTCCGCGACGGCGCAGCTCTTGATGAAGTGCTTGTACACCTGGGGCTTGTCGAAGCGGCGGACGATGGACCACACGGCGACGCGGGGGGCGCGGACGCGCTGCGCGAGGAGGGAGGAGCACTGCCCCGGGCGGAGGCGGTAGGTGTGGAACTCGTGGACGAAGGGGGCCAGCTCCGCGAACTCCTCCCGGGTCAGCCCGGCGGGGACCCTCAGGTGGTGGGCCGTGGTGCGCTCCTGCCCTTCTCGGGAGGTCTCGCCGTCGCCGTCGCCGTCACCGTCGCCGTCGCCTCTCTCCATTGAAGCAGCAGCTTCAGAGCTTGGTCTAGAGAGAGAAAGAAGAGAGAGAGAGAGAGAGCGCGGAGGGTGGAACTGGGGAGGAACGAGAAGAAGGGGTGTCTTTTTGTTTTTATTTGGGTTGGCTCTTTGCTAATATATTATGAAATTAATTTTAGGGAAAACGACACAATCAGTCCCTGAATTACCGCCGAACGTACAATTTAGTCCCTGAACTTTTAATTTGTTCAATGTCATATCTTAACTTTAGCCTAATATTCAATTTGGTCCCTGAACTTCTAATCTGTTCAATATTATCCCTGGACTTTTGGTACATGTTCAATTTAGTCCCTAAACCATATGAAAATGTTCAATGTAATCTAGGGACTAAATTGAACGTGTACCAAAAAGTCCATGGACCACATTGAACAGATTAAAAGTTTATGGACCAAATTGAATATTAGGCTAAAGTTCAAGGACTACATTAAATAAATTAAAAGTTTAGGGATCAAATTACATATTGAGCCAAAGTTCAGGGACTGATCGTGTCATTATCCCTTATTTTTATCATCCCATACTGCTGGTTCTTTTTATTTTATTTTATTTTTATTTATTTGAGGTGGTGGTTTGTGAAAAATATTGCAGAAATGAATAATAAAAAATTTTGGAATTTGGGAGGGGGGGTGGTGCTGAAAAATGTCAACTTGGTGAAGTGTACATGTGGTGGGTCGTGGCTCAGCTGCTCTTGCCACTTGTTGACACGTCATTCTGACTGGGACTCTGAGTTCTTATTTTAATTTCATTTTTGTTAAGCTGGTAAATATGCCCGATTCTCCTTTTTAAAAAAAATCATCGACTTTAGTTTCAATCTCAATTCTAGTCTCGACTTTATTCCCGGCTCTTCACTTTAGCCTCAAACCTGCTCGTGCATCTGAAAATCGTTACTCATTTCTTAAAGGTTATCAACATGAGGAGATTGCTATCGTTCCATACGAAGGTGTAGGTGTCGATGAAGACGCGGGCTCCGATAATGGACCTCTAACTGGCCCTGATGCTGATAATTTTGAAGAAATTAGCGGCGATTTTGGACAAGTGTACAGATCCGGGACTAAAATGAAAGTTGAAGATTTTTTTTTAACAAAAAAAGCCAGGGCCAGGATTGAAGATGCCGGTTCTGATAATGGATCTCTAATTCACCCTGATGCTAATAATTTTGATAAAACTAGCGACGTTTTTGGACACGCGGATAGATATGAGACTAAAGTAAAAGTTGAGGATTCTTTTTACGACGCAAATGAAAATTGGAGACAGAATTGGGGGTTGCGGATCTAAAGTTGCGAATTCTTATGGGGAATTAGGCCCCGGCAATTACGATTTCATCACCCTTTTCTTTTAATTATTTTGCGGACTAGGGATTCTCTTCATTAACTCAACAACTTTTGCAAATTGAAAGGGGGGGAAAAGAGGGGGTTTCATTTTATTCAATCTCTCTATGTCGTGCAACGCCGACTTGCTAAATAACGCCGGTTCCTTTGCACACCCCTAATTGACATCTTGACCTTATCTGTAGTTTAAATTTCATTTACAAAATGAGATGTACTCGAATCACACGCATGCCTCAATTCTAAGAACGACAGCACAGAAGCCCGCTAGAAGAAATCGATGCCGAAAGCAGAAAGAATTCAAGTTGCAGTGAGCTGAATATTTTAATGTTTGCATGACATCTGAATGATTCAAGGCATATGGACCAAATGCAATCAATCTAAGCTTCCCCCTGAAATTATTTGAGCTCTGCAAACGTACCATTTATGTCAGCAGAGCATAGAAAAGTAGTAGGTAAAAACTTTGAATTAGCGAATGCATTCAATAGCTCGATCGAGTCGTCGTTACGTGATCCTTTAGGTGTATTTGTTTCGGAGATCGATACTTTCAATGTAATTCGAGCACCGACCTTAACTAATGGATACCTAATTTGATAACGAAGGTATTGAACGGTTCCGTTCGATTTTCAAAATATTGATAAAGTATAGATATCCTCGGATAACGCATTATAAAGTTACGATTCTTTGTTTTTCGTCGGATTGCTTAGCAAGTGCCCCCACGTGCTTTATGTAATGAGACGAAATGAGGCCGAAGATTATGGACTAATATTGAGCATCATTTGGAATGTTATTTCTTCAAGTAAATTCGTACAAACTCTTTTTTACAACGTGGAGTCGTGGCTAAGTATGAAGAATGCTGTACAACGTCGTGAAAGTGTTATACGATTGCACGGTACAACGTTGTATCGTTGAAATTTCTAAGTGCGTAAGAAGTGCCTGGGCTTCTTAGTGGGGGGCTCAACAATCTAGAGGCGCAATTTCTTAGCAAAAGCCTCGAAGCCCACGTGGCAGAAAACTACATATTCGAGGGAGATTGGGCTTCAAAAAGCCCAAATTACATGCTTTCGAAAATACGATATGCGTTTCTACCAAAAAACAAATACGATTATACGTATCCAAAATTGTACCTTAGGACCACTTTCGCATCGATTATCCTCGAGTCCCTGTTTACAAAAAAATGCCATCTTCTTCCCAGAAATGCCCATCCATAAATCCAATTTCTCGTATTCGCCTGAAGCACTCTCTATAAACCAAATTAAAAGCCCGAGCATTTCCGAGCATTCTTAAACCTCAAGCAAGATGCTAAAATGAGTTTACAGAGAGAGACGACATGATATTTTCAATGCTGGGATTCACTTACTTAGCGGTGTGCGAATGAAAATTTGCAACAATAGAGGTACGTAAGCGATCATTTGCTCAAAAGCGTGATGCGTTTCTGGTATTTCCCCTGTTTGATCATTTTGCTCGATAGATGATAAGAACGTGATAAGCGCCTACTCCAATCCATCGACACTTCTTTCCAGCTCAAATGTGAAATGCCCTGGCCCATAGATCACGCTTTGTAAATTGTACACACAAAAGAGTAACGAGGTCTAGTTTCTATATTCACACGGAGACATTTTGCTCTTTCCTCGCCCCTCGTGATTTAGCTTCTGACGAGACAAAGGGCCAATGTCACTACCATTTTCAAAGCCATTCGCTTCTGTTCGGATCAATGACAATCTCTAATTAGATAGAAGCACATATATTTCAGTCGCGACTCATAAGCCCGCCAAAAAACCGTCACTCCTACACACAAAGCAATGAACAAATCGCTACCCGTCGGCAATGCTTTATCGGGAACTTGGTATCAACACAACGCACAATAGTATAAAGGCACGACAAAATGCTCAGTTGCGCAACCGAGAAAAAGGCGACATATCATTCTTTAAAGCAATACCTGTGCTACAAAATACTCTCTCAAACTGTCTTAGATCAAAGTAAAATTCTTTATTTGTCTTCTGAAAAGAATTTCTTAACAGCTCTCCTTCACATCCACATTACATAAGCGGGGAATAACGAGTCACGCTCCACTTCTCCGCAAGCGAGAGGACCTGCAAATTAGAGGACTCTGTCTTGGAGATCGTTTATGAAGGCGGACGCGAACGAACTTAGCTTCTTTCCGGTCTCTCCCGCGATGTTCTTAAGGGAAGAGATATCCTGCTGAGCCTGTGAAAAGGAGAAGGCGAAAAACTAAACTTAGCAGAAACAACCTGGTTTAGCCAAAAAGGGAAACTGGAAACTAGTGACAATGAAAACTTTTGGATAAAATTCAGGAAGAGACAAAAGGAAATAGTAATAAAATTGGAGAAGCAAAAGATAATGCAGTGAGATGGAATGGGAACATCATTTTAATCGAAAGGTGTGGGACTTGGATTCCCCATCGCAAGTATGGGACTACTGCTTCAAAAGCTAGGAAGTGCCCAGGCCATAAGAAGCCACATCCAATTTCCAAATCTATACCTTGCAATTAGGATCATAGTATATATTCCTCAAAAGACTGCTCAAAACCAGTATCGCCATTAAACAATAAATGCTGCAGCATGGTAAAACACTACCTGAAAAGAGAGCCTGTTGATGAGGTCGCTTGCAGAAACGTCCAGAGCAGAATCTGAACTGTCGCCAAACAGATCAGCACTGGAGATGGCAGATGAACTCTGTAACAACAAACAGTAAGAATGTACTAAGTCAATAACCGAACTATGGAGACCCTTGTCCACGGAACAAATTCATAGTTACCTCTTAATAGACCCAGAGTAATTTCTAATACATCATGAGACTTCAGCATTAAGGTCTAGAGAAGTCTTGTTTACTATAAATCCAAAACGCAGGGGATGAAAAATAGTGACATCAATTTGGCATTCAGTAGAGTTAGCTTCTCCAGATGGTTACCACTAAGTAAACAGAAACAATGAAGGTGTGATGTCTCCTAAGATTATCCTTAAGACTAAAGGCTGTCATCAGAAGAGGAGCATACCCTTCTAATTTGTCCCAACACTAATATGAACTTTGAAAACCATCACAAGATCAATTTTTTTTTTTTTTTGGTCCCTCAATTTGCAGAAACAGCCAAGAGCAGGTCAGCTGTATTCTAGAAAAGATTCCTTAAGAGCATCATAAAGTGCACTCTGAAGATATTCCAAGAGCCCATACGATCCTGCCAACACTAGTCGCACAGACGTAGGCCACTATGCCACCCCAAACTCTCTATTACAACTACGGTAATAATGGAGAAAGGTAAAACAAACCCGAGGAAGAAAATTTTGCGATAGAAAAGCCACAAACAGATTAGGGAAGAAGACACGATAAGCCAAGTATGACACCAAAATCAAACACCACATTAGTAAACTATAACTCCAGTCAATGCACACACAGAAAAGACCAAAAAGGCACCCCAAAATCCTCAAACAGGATGAGATGAAACCTTTCTTGTATCATTGGCCATATGTACAGTGTCCACAATGGTCGCAAAGTCATGAGTATTAGTTTCTGATCACAATAGCAATCAAAGAAATCCTCATTCCTGGTTCCCTTATCTATGATGCATGTCAAAGGAGAATATTCCAGCAGACAGCCAAAAAGGGAAATAGGCCCATTCACTCAAAGGGGGAAAAATGCTTCAGATGATAAAGGAAAGTTAAAACTGGTCATTTCTCAATAAAGGGCACATACGGAGAACTTTTGCAAGGAAGCTTGGGCATTGAGGTCGTTAGCTGAATTCTGATCACCAAAAAATTGGGCTGATGAAATTGACTTTGCATTTGAGAACTTCTTCCTTGCTTCATCAGATTCCTGGACCTGAAAATAGCAGTAACAGGAAATAACATCAACATATTGATGAGAAGAGTTTGTTGTAGCTGAAAAATAGCATAATTGGATAACTAAATAAAAGTGTCGCCACCATCCATAAATAATTAACTAAACCAGCATGCATGAGAAATTACAATGCAGTTGTTTTATGAAAAAAGCTAAAAGGAAATACAAAGGAAGGCGACAAAAGGAAATGAATAAGAGCAAGTCCATCAATACTCGTCTTCAAGCATCAAAAAACTAGCACACATTTGACTTACTACTTGTTCCCCATAAGAACCTTGAGCAGAGTGTTCGAAACTTTTCAAGTTTGGGATGACATATAAGCAGCTTAACTTAAACAGCACCAAGTACTTGTACTACCTGAGATTTTGAAGAATTAGAGCTTGCTTTCTTTGGAAAACCACTGTCCATTCCAAATTCAGCAAAGAAGTTCGACGACTTTGGTGGAGCTACATGACTAATCACATGTGTGCCACCAGAACTCGTGTCTGATGATTGGACATTTTCTACATACTCAAATCGAGATCCAAAAGAAGGACTAGCCATTGCAGTGCTGCTAGCAGGAGTAGAAACTGCCGGGACAACTGGCTCTTCAGGCTTTTGCTCATATAAATTTTCACTTGGCTGCACGTGTGAGGTAAGAACTCCAAGGTCAAGGAAAAGGCATACAAAAACAGCAATCAACATTGTTTTCAACCTGCTTCTGAGATGGGCACCTAAGGTCGATTTTAAACAGAGAATGCAGGTACCTTTGTTGTAAGCTTTCTAGCACCAAGGCCGCCAGTTTTTCCTGGCTTTTTGGAACCAAGAGGCTTCTTCACAGTAGTTATAACAATATGAGAAGTCCGGGTGGAAGCAGAGACTTCGGGCACTTCTTGCCTACCTAAAGAGCTTTCTTTTGGGGCTTCACTGATCTTAACATCAGGAAATCCATTGGATGCTTGGGATGACTGAGAAGCAACAGGAGATGATGGCAAACCTGCATCCTCTGCCACACTTTTGGCTACTTCTTTAGAAAGGAGTTGCCTGTATAACTCGGCAGCTCTTGATGTATATTTGGCCTCAATTTTGCCTCCATCGGTCCATCCATGTTGCTTGAAAAACACATGAGCACGGTTATTCCCCCCAAAGCTCATCGTTTTCAATTGCTCAGGAGTCCACGAGTCTAAATTTGTGGACCTTCAATTGAAAAAACAACATAAGCTTTCAATGTCCTGTTCCAAATTTCCGTAACTACAATAGAGAGAACAACGCAAGTTTGTAGGGTCTAGAACAACACAACTTGTATCCATTTAGATAAATGTATAGTCTATGCAAATATGGTAAAATACTATGCAACAGAAATCTCCATTTCTGTCCTACACTTTTACTCCCTCATAACCTTAAAATTCCTGCATTTCTCAATTTCTTCGTACTCCTGTTCTCTCTTGATGAAGTATTATCGGTTGTGACTGCAATTTTGCACGGCAAACTTGCATGGTTGTTGACATTCAATTATTTTACATGTGTACATATGTAATCCCAGAGCCTGTTGGACATATTGCCAAGTCGTAAAGTGTGTACCGCATTATTGCTTCAACAGTGAAAGAAAACATTGCAAACGCTTCAATTTTTTAAAAGGAGTGAATACACAAGGGAAATGACAGAAATTTTCCGAGAAACTGGCCATTTGGATAAGGAAAAATACGTACGTTTCTACAAAACGAAGAGACAACAGGCTCAACATAAGCCTCCAGAGAACATCAAACCAAGCGGCAAGTGCTAAATCTAGTTAAGCGTACAAGGATATAAACATGCGCCGATATGAGAATTAGTGTCGAAAAACTTCACATCCTAGAACCGACCTAGCGATCCCTTTACTTGCGGGTAACATGATCTCCTCATATCACCTACATGGGGCTTGACTGAGTGCAAGGTGATATTAGGACATCATGTTGCCTGCAACGTGCTCAAGAGTTTATACCATTCATTTAGGAACACAATGTGCTTAAGAGTTCAGCAGCATTATTACTAGACATCACCCCAGCAGGCCAACTTTTTCTAACCCCAACCTTTACGCGAATCGAAAATCAGCACCTAACGACTACAAACTGGAAAACCCAACAGAGAATTAGCTCCACCACTATCCCACCGACCCATCCATGTTTCGCATTATAGCAATGCCAATCCGCACAGCATGCCACGTAAAAGGCCGTCCAAAAAAAACACCCAACGAAACCACACCCATCCACACCTGACGAAGCTGACGTGCACGCCGAGGCTGCGGTGGACCGCGGAGCAGTCGATGCAGAGGAAGATCCCGTACGTCACCGAAGCCCAGGTCGGGTTCTTCGTATTGCAATCAAAACACATCTGGCAGAAAAACACACACACGGAAGACGAAAAATTGAGGTCCCCCCAAAGAAAGAGCGAAACCGCTCGATACGGAACAACCTCGAGATCCCGGTGCGAGATCGCCAGATCTGAACCAAGATCACAGGCGACAAGCTAACGGAACACGCGGAGAGGAAAGGAGACGGACAAACCTTGTTCTCCGATTTCGCTTTCAGTTTCCGGAAAACGGCGTTCTTGTCGGTGAAGCTGTCGGACGCCATGGGAGGGCGGAAGGAAGAGCTGAAGGACGGATTTCCCCTTTGGAGGTGGAGGAGGAATCGAGATGGGAAAAGGAAGGATTTTTCTGCTTTCGAGATCGATCGATCGTGCCTCGCTCGCTCGCTCGCTCGCTCTCGCTCGCCTCCTCGAAGGGAATCCGAATTCGAAGAGGAGGAGTATATTTTATGAATGTTTCGAGGAAATTCGCAAAACGATTTAAATTGCTTTTCTGGTCGGGGGGCCGAAAAAACGAATAAATGAAAAGAAGAAGAAAAAAAGAGGAGAGCGACGTGGCGCGGGCGAAGTGACGGGAATGCCCCTCGGCCGCTCGGGGGCAGTTTCGGGAATCGGAGTTTTGGTGCGCCGTGTGGTTGTCTGGTGGGGACTGGGGGGAGGTGGAGGGGATCGGTTGCGACGTCGCGGTTGTTCCGCGGCCGTTAACTGATGCTGATGGGCGGTCGAGATCACCACGCCGTTCCCCGATCGTTGATTGTATTGACTATTGACCACCTGTTCTTGCTTTTTTTTCTTTTTTTTTTTAATTCTTCATCTGGGCCCCGCTTATTTTCACCTCCTCTTAGGTACTCGCTGGTTTGTAATAATAACACACGTGCGGAAAAAAAAAACAACAGAGACACAGAAAAACATTGGCAAAACTTGGAGAGTGGCGTTGGTCATAGAGAGAAGCAAAGGGCGAATTTGATGATAGACTCGGGTTACCTAGGGTCCGGTCCTTAGAACCGAGAATCGAATCGAGAGGGTCGGTTCCCAAAATTAGGAACCGGAGATCGAACCAGGAACCGTCACTTTTTTTTTCCGATACTTAATGCCGTCTTTTCGTGTTGAATTAAGTGATATGTATGCAATAATCCTCAGATTGAAAAGACAAATCAGAAAATGTGCTTCACTTAGGGTTTAGTTCACATTTTACTAATTTTTTTGAAGATATAAAAAAATAAAATATATATATGTAGTCAGTTCGGTCCGATCAATCCGATTCCCTTTGGAACCGGGAACCGGATCGTCCGAACACCAGTTCCACTTTTAGGAACCGGAAACCAAACCGACACTCCAGGCAGTTCCCGATTTGGGCAGTCCGTTTTGCACACCTCGCATGTTACCCCTCCTCGAAGCATCTTTCGGAAAGAATCAATTCGGCAGAGACGTGGCGTTTAGAATTATTATGGCTCGGCAGAACCTACAACGACATGCTTCGTGGAAGATTGTTGTTTCATTGCGGCGCCACGGATGCTGATAACCCGGTACGGCGTGGGGTGTGCTATCTATCGAGCGCTGGACTCCGATACCGCTACAACCATCGACGATCAGCTATCGTTGTTCTCATACGTATAGTTTTTTTTTTTTTTGCGGGGGGACGAATTACAATTTGTTTTATTCTATTATGAAATTGCCATCTGATGAAGAAGGGGGTGAGTGAATCTCGTGGATCTAACCTTCGAGAGGAAGGATTTTGGGTGCTCGATGGTGACGCGGGGAACGTCGGATGGAAAAGGGGGCGACAAAGCGGACCACCCGACCCGAGCACGCGGAGCGGACGTGGGCCTCGTCCGGTTGGGCGATCTTCACGAGCCCACTATAACCAAACCCGAGCCCACGTGATGCTTGGGCTTTGATATCATCTTGGGCCGCATGAGCCCAGTGATGGACTGCCGGGCCAAGGCTTTGGGCTCAAATGTCTTTCGCACTTTTCCCTAGGGAAAAGAGAAAGTTGACGGGCTCCGTTTGTTTCGCAATTTGAAAAGTATTTTCCCTGTAAATGGCCGTTCGCATGCTTGAAATGATTAGTCGATTGGAAAATGGTTCCGTCGTCGATGGCAATTTATGTCTGTATATTTTGGTTAACGATATAAAATATTCTCCGTTTATTCATTTTTATAAGCGACATGGGCCAGCGTTTTTAGAAAAACATTTTCAAAGTCGATCATTTTCCCGCAAAGGAAACTTACTTCTCGATCGCAATTCATAAAAAATTTTATGAGTCGGATGGTTCTTGTAATTGGAATCCTTAGTACGCACCCATTTTCCTTTCTTACTGTTCAATGACTTCGAGAACTAAGCTTTTGGCGAGTTAAAATACTCCCGATCGGTCTTTTGTGATCGGATATGAAACGATGGGAATCGGGGAATATCTCGACGTTGGGGAAATACCAAAAGAGAATGGAAGAGGAGGGAGAGACGGTAGAATATGTTTCCTTTCTTTGAAATAAACGAGACTCCACATTCCATTTTTTGAGAAAACCTCATGTCCTTCCCTTCCAAATTTAGAGCCAATTTTACTTTTCTATTTCGAGCTGAAGTCACGTCGAATTATTTCGAATGAATCTCATCCCTTTCGTTCCCGATTCGGATTTAGCTCTAACTTGATGACCTGCATACGACGTGTTCCCGACCCACTTCTTTAAGTATCATTCCAATTATGTCCCAGATGCTAATCATATTTGGTCCATCAACGGAGCCGAAAGGTGATTCGATGCGAGGAAGTCAAACACCATCTGCGTTTCGACACTACTAAAATTTGAGGGAACCGAAAGGAAATAGATTTCGACCAAAACAAAGAGGAAATAGATAACTTAAAAAGAAAAAAGAAATATCGAGACCGAAGAAACTTATATATTCGTTCCAGTCGAATTACCCATCTCCAAAAAAATTAGACAAGAATACGGGTAATTGTACCTTTTTCTCTTTATTAAAAATGGCCTTTTTTCAGATATTAAAATAATTAATATCACTTCGACCAAAAAAATAAATAATTGATATCACAGATAATCCTTTCTCTAACAACAGCTGCCTTATTTCCTTTCCATAGATAAATATATATACATACATACATATATATATATGCCTAATTTAAAAAAAAAAGAATCAACTTTAGGTCGAGGGACAATTCTGGCCTGAACTTTTTTGTCCCGTAAAAAAACACCAACTTTAGGCCGAGTGGCAATTGTGGCCTTAACTTTTTTTTTGTCTTATAAAAAAGCACCAATTTTTACTTAAATCATAAATCTGGCCTCCATTGACTTAGAATCATTGATTATTCAATTTGACTGTTCCGCCTCAGCAATAAATCCACGTGGCTTGCTAACTAGATTTAAAGCACTATTCACTGTCTTATTCTCTGAGCCACAGTTTAAAGAATAACGGCGAAACTGTTCGTCTCATTCACTTTACTGACAAATAAAAAATATCTCCAAATTGGATTTCTCTGGGCGGACTTCGTTGTAATTTGAAGCTGTAGACCACCGCTCGTCGACAGATGCCATGGACAAGATCCGCCAAACTCACCACCATAACCTTTTTTCTTAAACAAGGGTGACTTCATATAGAAAGTCAACAAGGAGCTCGGGGTGAAAGTCGGCGATTTTTTATAAGACAAAAAAAAGTTGGGCCCAGAATTGTCACTCGACCTAAAGTTGGCGTTTTTTTACGAGACTAAAAAAAGTTCGGATCAGAATTGTCTCTCGACTTAAAGTTTATGTTTTTTTTTTTGGAATTAACCCTATATATATATAACGGATAGAGGCGAAAAAAAAAGAAAAAAAGGAAGACGAAGCCCTCCCCGCGGAGTCCCCCAACCCCCCAATGCCTTCCCCTCACGCGCCGCGTTCCGATTCAATCAATCTTATTTCCGCGCAGCGAAATAAGAAATAATAATGGCGGCTTCGTTTTCCCTCCCTTTTTGAAACCCTTAAATCTCCCCCCTCCCCCCTTCCCTCCTCCTCCTCCTCCTCCTTCCCCCAAAACCCTCCCCCAAATTCCTTCAGAAACCTTCCAAAAATTCCCCTCCTCGAAATCGCCGATCGATCCCTCGCCCTCGCCCGCCGCAATTCCGCCCCTCCCCGCCGCCGTCCCATGGCGGAGCTCCAGCCCCCCGAAACCCTAGACCGCCCCGCTCCCCCCGGCCCCCTCCTCCCCCGGCGGATCCCCGGCGGCCGCGGTCCCTCGCCACCCCCGGCGCCGGGCGGCGACGGGGAATCTCCGGACGAGATGGAGGCCGACGGCGGCGGCGGCGGCGGCGGCGGCGCGTTTAGCCCGCGCGCGCCGGACGACGGGGAGGGGGAGAAGGAGGTCTCGCCGGAGGAGAACCGGTACGGCTGCTACAGGCGGCCGGAGCTGAGCTGGTGGTCGCCGTGGTGCCCGCGGAGGCGCCTGATCTGCAGCCCGCTGCTTCTCCCGGCGCCGCCGGTCCGTGAGATCGTGCCTTCAGGAGTCGTACGTCGTTCGAATTCACTTTTGGAAATTTTCTCTTCCTGTGATCTTTGTTAGTAAGAGTTTATCAGGATTTAGGAGGCTCGTTCTGGAGTTTTGAGTTTAATGCTGCGATTTGGTCTTCTTCTTCCGTTTGTGTCGGAGTTGCTGCAGGGCGCAGGGCTTAACAATTTGGGGTTCACGTGCTTTTTGAATGCGGTACTGCAATGTCTCACTCATACCGTTCCGCTTGTCCAGGCGATTCGCGGCTTTGACCATGCCGATCCGTGCGATCGTAAGTTTTATGGTCTAGTTTCGTTGACTGTTCGATGTAGTGAATTTGTAATTTGTTCGAGCAGCCATTGAGTGATTGCAGTTTTGGAATATTCAGGAGGCAGAGAGGGCTTCTGTGTTCTATGCGTTCTGCGCGACCACATCGAACTTTGCATATCTTCTTCTGGCAGGATTATCTCTCCATTCAAATTAGCTCACAATCTGAACAGTATCCTTTCCCGCCCATTGCGTAGTTGCTGCTTCCGTGTTTCCTCTACTTTAGATAGTGCTGCTAATATGGAAGTGTGGTTTTGAGTAATGTTAGGGGTACAAGGGGTAAGAAATCTCATTTGAAAGGATATGTGGCCACATCAATTGAATATTTAAACAAGTGGACTTCCTTTTGCACCACTTTCACTAATCTCAACATTCAAATCCGATCTTGTCTCTTCTTTTTATAAACAGGATAGTAAAAACTCTCTGTACCCCTAGTATTTAGCATGTTTTGTCGCTGCAAAGCTGGAACTGAGTCACGGACAGCTACCACTTTCCACAGTGGGAAGCTTAGCATTAATAAAATTGTGGTACTGTGATTCTTGACTCGAGAACACCAGATATATCTTCTGATTTTCAGAGGTATCAACAGGAAGATGCTCATGAATTCCAACATGCCTTGTTGGATAGACTTGAAAGGTGTTGTTTGGATTCAAAAGCAGAGGATGAAATGTCTACAAGAAGCAATGTTGTGGATCAGGTTTTTGGCGGTCGTCTCGTAAGCAAAGTATGGATAGGAATTTGCTCATTATTTCATTTTTCCTTTTGATTTGAATGCTGCGATTTTGTTATAGTTTGGTTGGTGACTCTGTACAATACTGTCTACTACAGCTACAATGTTGCAGTTGTGGACACTGCTCCTACACCCACGAGCCCCTTATTGACCTGAGTCTGGAGATTGAACATGCGGACAACCTTTCAGCTGCTCTAGAATCTTTCACTAATGTAGAGAAGATCGAAGATCCTGAGACAAAGTTCAGATGTTCAAGCTGCAATCAAGAAGTATCGATGGAGAAGCAGCTTCTGTTGGATAAGGAACCTTCAGTTGCTGTATTCCATTTGAAGCGATTCAAAACTGATGGTTTTAATGTTGAGAAGATAGATAAGCACATGGATTTTCCTTTAGAGCTTGATTTGCAGCCTTACACTGGTGGCAGTCGGGATCACAATGTGAGTATTGATCGACTATTCTTGCTGACAAATTTTCTTAGCTAGACTTTTGGTTGTCGGTTCTACTTGGTCCTTTTCCATTAAAAAGTTCTGGTATTTTGGGCTTTACCTGAGGCGACGTCTTATGCGTGTCAGTTGAGTTTCATCATTTGGCCTAGTGGATGGTTATGTTTAATTAAGATGAGAGATCCTGATGGATGATACATTCATGTGCATGATTTTCTTTTGGGCGTTTTCTGATAAATATTTGTTATGCTATAGATAAGGCTTTCCAACTTCCAAGTATAAACCTTCTATTCTCTTGCTTGCCATCTTTCTCTGCAACAGGTGGAATTCAAGTATCAACTCTATGCTATTGTGGTGCATATTGGAATTTCACCCACTTCTGGGCATTATTTTAGCTTCGTTAGGTCTTCTCCAGGGACATGGCATAGGTTTGATGACGCTGAGGTACTTCATCATTTTCTTCATAAATTTAGTTTAGCTAACATTTGCTTCTTATATCCGTAATTTGTTTTTATTTTTGGCTTAAGTAGTGTTAACTGTGAACTTTGCCAATCAATCTCTCCACCATCTGCCGCATTCGCTATAACCCAACTAGGGACAAAAAAGCAGATGTGCCTATACATTGGTCAAAATTGACTTTTATTTTAACTGTTTGGAGGAAGTTGTACACTTCCTTAATTGGTTAAATGCGAAAAGGTCATGCATAGTTAATCTTTTGTAGGTCCAGAAGGTCCAGGAGGATCTTGTTTTAGCTCAGGACGCCTACCTTCTATTCTACACAAAGCAGGGGACACCTTGGTTTTCTAGTTTGATGGAGGCACAGAAACCACATTTAAATCCAGACTTGTCTGATGCATCACCCACATCGGTGTTGGATAATGTGGATGTACCTTGCACTTCATCCCCTGGCATGACTGATACTGACAAGCCCATATGTTGTGAACCTTCTCGTGTTTCTGATGAAGATACCGCCTCATATCCTGGTAATGGTTCTGGGAATAATGGCCTTGGTGAAGTTACAGGTGCTGCGGTGGCTACTTTTCCGTCGTTCGATCACGACTTGGGGAAAAATGAGGTGGTTTATGACTTTGGAGATGATATAGCCATGTTCGATGCTCCTTTGAGTTCTGATGAGCGTACTTGTCATGTTGAAACTTCATTTAGCGGTAGGGGAGAATCCACAACCTCATTTGGTGAGAAAGTCTGTGAGCCTGAAAGTCAGGGTCTGGTGAACAATGATGTTTTTCGTCCTCTGACGCCCTTGCGATCTCCATCTCGCAGTCCCGCATCTCCAGATACTTATGCCAGGAAATCATCAGGTAAGGGATGGCTGATTCTTCAACAAACTGTAGCAGATAAAGAATAATTTGCTATAATAAACTGCAGCGCATGATTATCTTATCAATTCATTGTTTTCAGGAGCAAGTGATGGAAACTCGCATCTTCTGAAACCAAATCGGTCAACTTGTAAACAGCAATTGAGTAAAGCTTTGGACGATCCAAAGCGAAGGGAAGCTATTCGGTACATAAGGAACATGCCTTCTTCAAGGGGTCTTAGATTTTACCATGCTGTGCTGGGTCCGCAAAGTCCTGGTGCTTCGAAAAAGAAGATAGACAGAAGAAGAATGAGAGCATCTCCTTGTAAGAGGACTAGCCCTCCGAGTGCTCGCCCCAGGTCTAGTCATGTGCACTCCGTTGCAGCTCGAAGTCGTTGATAGCTTGGGTTGGGGAATTTTGTCCGAGAGCTCTCTGACTTCTAAGGTGATGCCAAGTGGGCAAGGACCAACTTTTCTTATTGCTATTCGGTTATATGTTCTTTTTCTGTTATTGAGACAGTAGGCTGCTCTATGTGGCATCTTATGTATATGCTAACTGCTGCATTGGAAAACCAAAGTAGTTCAAAGTGTCAAACTGCGAAAGAGAACTTGCCTGTCCCTTTTCTTTAGTTGGATATCACAAAGAGTACTTGGTTCATAAAGTTGAGAATAACAAAAGCGTTAGATGCTGAATTTGATCGACTGCATTGATCGTGTGTGGATCCTAGAGTGGTACTGCTGGTGGATGAAGCTCGCGCCCTTTGTTTGTCCTGCCGAAAGCAACGTCAAGTGCTAAATTGCAGGCGTTGCCTCAATGCAAGCGCTGTTTCCATTTAGGATTGAATTGATGACGGAAACAAAGAATTGGGCTTGTGCCCACCTGGCAAAACTGCAAGTCGAATATCATTCTTTGGCTTTTTGATTTTTTGGATAGTTTTGGTTTCATGTTCCGTGCAAAGGTCCCAGGCATGCGAATGCTGCATACCTGTTGGGTGTAGCTTGTTGTACGAGTGAAAGAAAAAGGGGAACTAGGGGCGGCTAATAAGAAGAAATTTTAAGTTCCTCATTAACCGTAAACACGAAATGAGATTACACATCCATGATTAGCAGATACATCTCGTCTCCATACAATAGATTAATAAGTTGACCAACCCTCTTCTTCACCAAATTAATCTTGTTTTTGCGGTTATTTATTTGGCAAGAAAAGGCTTCCCTCTTAGCATGCGATAACGCTTGTGAAAGCATTCTCAAGGAATGTAGCCACCGCCATGGCCGCCACCTTCCCCGCTGCCAGCACCACTGCCATAAGCTGCTCCACCGCCACCATAGGCCCCTCCACCGCCTCCACCAGAGCCGCCGCCGCCGCCTCCGGCATGTCCACCAGCGGCAGCACCCCCACCAGCTCCTCCTCCACTGCCATATCCACTACCAGATGCTCCCCCAGCATAACCTGCTCCCCCTCCTCCACTCCCTCCACCACCTCCATATCCGCCAGCGCCGGCTCCTCCAGCACCATAGCCACCGCCGGCACCACCTCCTTCTCCGCCTCCAGAACCACTGCCTCCAGCGCCAGATCCTCCACCTCCTCCACCGCCACTTCCGCCGCCGCCTCCTCCAGCATAACCACCTGCACCATATCCGGCACCACCTCCTTCGCCACCCCCACTTCCATATCCTGCGCCATGTGCGCCTCCTGCACCGTAAGCAGCTCCACCACCGCTACCGCCACCGCCACCACCACCACCTCCTCCAGCAGCTCCTCCATAGCCCGCACTGCCACCCTCTCCACTGCCACCACCACTCGCATATCCCGTCACACCACCTACAGCACCATAACCGCCGCCTCTCCCGGCTCCACCTCCACCACCATAACCAACAACAACAGGAGCATGTCCCACTGTCTCAGGAAGAGTAAGAAGAGCTCTTTTGGCGGAACTTATGCCCAAAACAGACACTAGCACAAACAACGCAATGCAATAGAATTTGTAGGTAGCCATGGGAATGTGTATTGAAATCCCACAACCTTGAGTTCAAAATGCAAGAACAAGGGAGGTATTTATAAGCATATCGATGGGGTCCAAAAGCGCGTTTTCACTGTGTAGTGGTTGAAGCACATGGAAAAGAGAAGCCCCACAGAGCAATGGATGGTCCAATACAGGGAAAAAGTCTCAAGTATCATTTCACTCTTTGCACCCTCTGCCAACAGAGGACCTAATGCTTAGTGTGTTTTTGCTGTCTCCCACATTGGATCGTCATAATACATACCATGATGTACACGCATTGTTTTGTCCATCCAAATTAATGGGGCAAGCAAGTGTTAAATTACCTTATCCTTCATAAAGATTTATGAACCAGCTTTAGATAGGATGGATATCTGACAAGGAATAATCCCTTTTCACACCTGTGGCCGAGAACACACCACAATGCATGCTTGTATCAGAGTTTGTATATGTACGAAGGTTGATGGGGTGCAACGACACAATCAGCTAATTCTGACGAGTTGCTGAGCACTTCTTGCATGATTGAATCTACTGTGTGCGGTTTCTTAATGCATTATATGCTCTCTTAACGGTTTCACACATGAACTTCATGAGGAGATGATGATCAAGTGTAGTGTACTGTCCAGAGCAATAGCCTTCCAAACTATTCATATATTTTTCTTTTGTTCTAAAACCAAACTTGAATGAATCATGAAAAAGTTTATGTTTAAAAACCCATGTTTGTTAATGTTTCTGGAAGGAAGTTTTACCTTGCTTGTTAACTTTGTTCTCTTAAGCTGAATCGCCATCATCAGACCTACACTAATCGCGTAGAAGAAGACATAAGTTGCCTGCTTAGTTCAAATCACGTGAAGGATACTTGCGTTGTTTGAATGATTATTTATGCTCAGGATTTGTGGATTCTGAAGTGGACCACATTGGTTTTGTAACACTAATTAATGTACAGGATAAATATATGAATTTTGTGCTGATCGCAAACCAACTCAGATATCAGGATAGCTGATAATCAGAAGATGGTTTTCATATAAGAGTCCTTCGTTTGTTATTGTAGCACAAGATCTGTCTCTATCAGCTCATTTATTTACATGAATAATCGCTTGTGTTGTATTAGCTCAGTGCAATGATTTGAATTCAGCGTTCTTGCTGCTCCTCAGTAACAGAAGTCTGATGGCATAAACCTAGCTATATGAAAAGATGCAAAAATACATCCACCATTCCTTCAATCCTATAAGTTGTTTGGTTCAAAATAATGGATGATACTGAAAAATTAATCAGCGTAATGAAAAGTTGGCAACCGTTGTATATCTATGTCTATGAAAAGGATGCAAATTGCATGGCTGGATGAATCCAGTATGAAGCTGACCCGCTATTCCTGTAGTGCTATTGGGATTCGGGCAAAAACAGTTGATTATTTCAAACTAATGGATGATACCAAAAAATAAATCAGAAAAATGGAACAGGAACCATGACGATTCATCAAGGCAATAAGTTTAAACTCTCCAATGTGGTATTAGGTCAGCCTGCCATGTGATACAATCGATTGGTGTTCTCAAGTATGATTGTGCCATCCAACCAAGCATTTATCTGTGCAACAACGTTAGCTGATATAGATGTATAGCATACATAAGCAGTCGCAAAATGATATTATTCTCCACAGCAGCAGTGCATCCATGTAAGAGTACTAGCCCTCCTAGCGCTTGCCAAAGGTCTAGTCATGTGCACTCTGTTGCAGCTCAAACTCGTCGATAGCTTGGTTGGCGAATTTTGCCAAGTGGGCAAGGACCATCATCTCTTATTGTTCTTGGGGACTTAATTTCGGTATGGAGACATTAGGTTGCTCTAGTTGGCATCTTATGTATATGCTAACCGCTCCACTGGAAAACCAAAGTAATTCAAGTTTCAAAGCTGAGAGAAAGAACTTGTCTGTCCCTTTTCTTTAGTTTGATATCACGAAGAGTTCTTAGTTCATGATGGTGAGAATAACAAAAGCATTAGGTGCTGAATTTGATCGACTGCATTAATCGTGTGGATCCTGGAGAGGTACCGGGGCCGGATGAAACTCGTACCCTTGTTTATCCTGCTGAAAGCAACTTCAGGTATTAAATTGCAGGCATCGTCTCAATGCAAGTGCTGCGCAATCACTTGGGCCCGTGATTTGGAAACTTTCATTGAGGATTGAATTGATGACAGAAAACAAATATGAGTTTGTCCCCAACTGGCAACATTGCAATTTGAATACCATTCTATTGACTTTTAATATTTTGGATAGTCTCGGTTTCATTTGCCGCGCAAAGGTCTCAGGTTTGCGAATGCTGCATAAAGGTCCTGTCCTGATCATTCTTGAACTGAAGCGTTTTGGTGTAGCTTCTTGTGTAAGTGAGAGGAAAAGGCAAACTAGGGAAAGCTAATAAAAAGAAATTTAAATTCTTCATTAAACTTAAACACGAAATGAAATACACATCCATGATTGGCAGATACATCTTGCCTGGATACAATAGATTAATAACTTCACCAGCCTTTTCTTAACCAAATTAATCTTATTTTGGCAGTTATTTATATGGCAAGAAAAGGCTTCCCTCTTAGCATGCAATGACCTTGTGAAAGCATGCTCAAGGAATGTAGCCACCGCCATGGCCGCCACCTTCCCCGCTACCAGCACCACCGCCATAAGCTGCTCCACCGCCACCATAGGCCCCTCCACCGCCTCCGCCAGAGCCGCCACCACCCCCTCCGGCGTGTCCACCAGCAGCGGCACCCCCACCAGCTCCTCCTCCTTTGCCATATCCACTACCAGATGCTCCCCCAGCATAACCTGCTCCCCCTCCTCCTCCACTCCCTCCACCACCTCCATATCCACCAGCGCCGGCTCCTCCAGCACCATAGCCGCCGCCGGCACCACCTCCTTCTCCGCCTCCATAGCCAGCACCTCCAGCACCGGATCCACCACCTCCTCCACCGCCACTTCCACCGCCACCTCCTCCGGCAGAACCACCTCCACCATATCCGGCACCACCTCCTTCGCCACCCCCACTTCCATATCCTGCGCCATGTGTGCCTCCTGCACCGTAAGCAGCTCCGCCGCCGCTACCGCCGCCGCCGCCACCACCACTTCCTCCAGCAGCTCCTCCATAGCCTGCGCCACCACCCTCTCCACTGCCACCACTGCTTGCATATCCCGTCACACCGCCTACAGCTCCAGAACCGCCGCCTCCCCCAGCTCCGCCTCCACCACCATAACCAGCAACAACGGGAACATGTCCCACCATCTCAGGAAGAGTAAGAAGAGCTCTTCTGGCAGAACTTATGCCCAAACCAGACACTAGCACAAACAACGCAATGCAATAGAAATTGTAGGTAGCCATGGGAATGTGTGTTGAAATCCCACAACCTTGAGTTTGAAATGCAAGAACAAGGAGGGCATATATAAGCATATCCATGGGGTTCAATAGCGCGTTTCACTGTGTAAAAGCATGGTCGAAGCACATGGAAAAGAGAAGCCCCACAGAGCAATTGGTGGTCCAATACAGAGATAAAGACTCGAGTATCATTTCACTCTTTGCACACTCTGCTAGTAGAAGACCTAATGCTTAGTGTGTGTTTGCTGTCTCCCACATTGGATTGTCATAGTACATACCATGATGTACATGCATTGTTTTGTCTATCCAAATTTATGGTGTAAGCAAGTGTCAATTACCTTATCCTTCATAAAGATTTATGAACCAGCTTTAGATATGATGGATATCTGACAAGGAATAATCCCTTTTCACTCCTGTGGCTGAGAACAAACCACAATGCATGCATGTATCAGAGTTTTTATCTGTACGAAGGTTGTTGCAGTGCAATGACACAATCAGCTAATGCTCAAGAGCTGCTGAACACTTCTTCTATTATTAAATCTACTGTATGAGGTTCCATAATGCATCATATGCTCTCTTAACAAGTTCACACATGAACTTAAAGAGGAGATGATGATCGAGGTAGCCTATTGTCCACAGCAAAACTCTTTCAAACAATTCGTGTCTTTTTTCTTTTCTAAAATCAAACTTGAATGAATCATGAAAAAGTCTACGTTTCAAAACCTTCATTTGTTAATGATTCTGAAAGGAAGTTTTAAACCTTGTTTGTTTGTTCTCTTAAGCTGAATTGCAATCGTCACACCAACACTGATCGCATAGAAGAAGACATGAATTTCACATACACTCACTATTGTGATCGTTTCTTTAGTAATGTCAGCAATACATCAAGTTGACTGCTTAATGTTTTTTTCGAATCACATGATGGATACTCGCATGAAAAAAAATTGATTAAATGATTATTAATAAAGAGGATTTGTGGTTTCTGAAGTGGACCACATTGATTTTGTAACACTAATTAATGTAGAGGATAAATATGTGAATTTGTGCTCTCATTGCAAACCTTCTCAGATATCAGGATAGCTGAAATGATAATATGGTTTTCATGGAAGAGTCCTTTGCTTGTTATTGTAGCACAAGATCTGTCTCTTTTAGTCTCATTTATCAAATGAGTTATTGCTAGTTTCGTATTAGACCAGTGCAATGATTTGAGATTCAGCAGTTTTGCTGCTTCCCAATTACTTGTTTCCAGAAATACAATGAGATCAATAGAAGTCAAACAGCATAAACCTATCCATAGGAAATGATGCAAAATTGCATCCACCATGTGTTTGGGGAAAAGTTGTTTGGTTAAATTAGAAGAATGGACCATACTGAAAAATAAATCAGCATAATGAAAAGTTGGAAAGCATAGTTAATCTATGAATATGTAATGGATGCAAATTGCATGGCTTGATGATCCAGTATGAAGTTGATCCACTGTTCCTACAACGTTATTGTGATTGAGGCAAAAATAGTTGGTTAAATCAAACTAATCAATGATACTGAAAAATAAATCAGAATAATGGAAAGATAGGAACCATGAAGGGTATGCTTTGATTCATCAAGGCAATGAGTTCAAACCCTCCAATGTGGCTATTTGGTCAGCCTTCCACGTGATACAATCATTTAGTTTTCTCAAGTATGATTGTGCCATCCAACTAAGCATTTATCTGTGTAACAACTTTAGCTGATATAGAGGCATAGCATACATAAGCAGTTGCGAAATGATGTGATTCTCCATAGCAACAGTGCACGCATGCAGCAGCAACTTTTCACCTAATACAGGCAAAGCAAAGAAGAAAACGCCCATGTGGGAATGTGATCTCTTAAAACCAGTTCTCATGCCTAATCCCACAAGTTCACAAGACATATCTTATGTCGACTCCGTTATGGAAAAAGAAAACTACAAGCCACGCTAGAATGTGATCCTCAGTGGAAATGCAATACCTTCAGGAAAAATTATCAAGAAGAGCCTCAATGTAGAGCTCATTAACATATCCTGTCAGATCTAATCCCTCTATAAAAAAATTTGAGCCAGCGGTTCATGAACTTGTGAGATATCATTTATGACTTATCTATTGAATATCCTTGCTCACATCCTATAATGTCCAGTATAGATATGTCTTATTCTAAGTTCAATTACAACAAGATCTTGTTCAAGTTATGTCTTATAACTCGAGAACAGATATGCTTGCTAAGTACCAATGTCTACTACTCCATTGCCATTGATTAGAAACCTTAGCAAGATCCAATAAATAGGAGATGAATACAAATTACCCCTTTCTCAACTTTCTCACCGGGAGAAAGAAAGATTGAATAACGACATGGAATCTCTATACCACTTCTGATTTAATTTCATTGCTCCTTCTTTGGTTCTTTCTGTAATCAGCCCACTTCATTTTGGGTCCTTAGCTAACTAAAACGCACAAAATGCAGTTTCTCTTTTTCACACTAAATCCATAATTGGAAGCACAAATTTTATCCTTCTAGAAAACTTCGCTAGATTATTTCTTCATTTGGGAAATCAAATTATAATAACAATAGCTAGTGGAGGATCACATGCATGGTGGTCTTAAGAGTCTACACCACCCACATTTGTTCTCACGTGAGTGGGACCAAATCCTTCTCATCGTGTGCATTTAGTGGTCACTTTTTTCTTTCTTCACGCTCGGGAGGGAGGCCAAGAAGAACATTCTTTTCCCATTACGTCACCTGTGATGTCCACAAAATAATAATGTCGATGTCTACTTTATTTTTATTTTTTTTGGCCTCACCCAAATGTTTCCTCTTTGTGGAATCCAGATTTGATCTTGAAATGTAAGCATATGAATACGAAGAGAAAAAATATATATATATGTGAACTAGAATTCTTTTACACTCCAAAATCTCAGTTTTTGGCTTATGATCTTCGTGTTTACTTCTAACCACAGGCCTTATTGTCCTAAGTTTATCATTTGGTTTGTTTCGATAAGATATTGTCCTACGTTTATCATGATATCAGCTTTCTTGAAGTTAGTTGTGATATTTGTCACAGAACTTGAGAAATTACAATTCATTAATGAATCTGTCAAAATGAGGGGGAACAGATGGTAGGCAATGCCGGACCATTGAAACTAAACGAATGGCCAAAGTTTGTCTTGAAAGCCCAAAAAATAAAAAGAATCCCTTAAGTAAATGCCTTTATGCTCATTCTGAAGTTTAAACACTACTCACCTTTCCGTTAGTTCCCGACAAAATTCATGCTCATACTGATCTCTCCTCTGCAGTGAACAGCTGATTTGAAGCCTCGTCCAGTTTTTGCAGTTACATATTTGGTATCAGTCGATCCGGTTTTGCGCAATTCACAGTCATTAAACATCATTTTTTTGACTGGCAAGGGCTTTTCAATGTTTTCTGGTCAGCCATCGATGATTGTGGAGTTGATTCCTACCCCAAGGAACTCATATTTGAGCGGGAGGGGCTACGGTGGAGGGTGGTTGTGCTAGTTTACCTCCATGTAGTTGGCTAATTATAGTCATGCCCGTAGGTTACCAACAAAAAATGTAAAAGTTACTATTGCATCGTAGTTCCATGAATGAAAACCCTGAGAGTCGAATTGCCGCGTGTAGACTGAAGCCATTGGCTTGATCAATCTCATGATACATCCGATCCACGCCTGAATATTTTCTGGAACACCCACAGGTTCATGGTTCAGGTCGGAGACAGATTGGCGTTAGAGAAGTTGCACTTAGCCTCTGTACTCCTTTTGTCTTACCGCATAATCTGACAGACATGAGAAAGTGAACTTGCCAGTACAATCTAAGGTGCGTTACTACGTCAGGTGTGGGCTAGGATCGCAGAATCGTGGATTCAAGCTTCTCAAGTTTTGTTCTTCTCGTACCTCGATGAGAAACATAAAAGTGTCAGTAGTCCCCTCATGGACCCGATACAGTACATAGGGACAGGGTCAATGGTATGCCCCCACCAAAAGCGTCCTTCAACTTAGTGAGTCCCAAAGAGTGGAATTACGGACACCGAATGGCCCAGCACATATGGTAGCGGGTGTCAACCTTTATACACGGCACAAACGCCTCGTACTGCATCACCAGTTAAGTTTCACATAAAACTTATCGTTTGCAATTGGCGAAACGGCCAATATATGGGCCTTGCCAGAAAACACGGTATAGCATAGCAGTGGTGGTAGTAGTACCTATCTGATTGTAGTAGTAACTACCTCGATGTGTCGGTAATCTTGTCAATGTGCTATTATAACTGTGCTAGTATATTCCTAAGAAGAAGAACCAAAGGACACGGGACCATACAATTTAACTTGACAAGAAAGCCAATCTCAGTACAACAAACATGTAGGTCAACTAACAGGAGCTTAGATATTATCTTCTCGGTTTTACAAGCTTCACCTCTATCCACAGACATATTGTTGTTATCAGCTGTTTACTTACATTAAGTCATGAAGCAGGGCAATCAGTCCAGAGATGCATGCATTTGAATCAAAACAAACCGGAGAGCCTTAGAGTATGATTATTGCCTGCGGAATTGGAGGAAGAGAATAGAGGGGTTAGGGAGAGAATTAGCTAGTTGGGGGCGAGGCGATATCCCAACCTAAAAGAGAATAGAAAAGTTTTGAAAATGATGTGTTAAGCGCATTATCATGATAAACACAATCTCAATATGTTCAAAGAATCTTTACTGCATCATCATTTTCCAATTAGCTAACAGAATGCAATTCATATGAAAGAGAGAGAAAAGAATTGGCAGAATTGTTAAGTCTTTATGTTCTGTTACTTTGCATGAAGCTTCAGTTGTAATCAGGGAGAGTCTGAAACAGCTAAATCGCCACAATCTTCTCTTTTGGGCAAGACAAATAAGTTAGAAGGCTCTTGTTCCTTTCACATGTAGGCTGCCTTAAGTTTCTCAATTGATGCCCATGTCTCCGCCTGTAAATTGGTTCTTCAAGAAAGAGAATGGCAGAATCAGATATTATGACCGGAAGAGAAACACCACATAAATTGTTCACATCTGCCAATGGTCGAGGCAATGGCACTACTTGAATGGAGACACTTAGTCAAGATTTCAGACACAGAAGTACTTGCAACTAGAAAAGATGCAAAATGATGACTTTCTTTTCTGCTGCAGCATGAGAATCTGATGATACCCATAGCGAGTATGTTGATCAGTTAAAGGAAACAATTAGAATCAATATGAGTCAACTCTAACTGCATTGAGAAGGGAATCACACGTTAAATTTCTGCTATGGCAGCCAAAATCCTAGAGGTCTAGATGGATTCAAATGCCACAGGCCACAGGGTGTAACAAACAGATTCTGATGAAGGTTTAAGTCTTTTCTCGAGAAGTCGTCAGCGTGGACATTGAGTGATGCGATGGCAACAAAGATGAATGTTTCGTGCTTGGTGATATCGGACAAAGAGGCAGCACAAAAAAGGCTTTCCAGATTAAGCGCGCTTAATCTGGAATAAAGTGATAAAATGACAAGAGTAACGAGGCAAGGAAACTCCCCATGATTCCCTCCCAAATTCATTCTCCTCTCACTCCGTCTTGGTTTGCAAGGAAGGGAACAGCAAATGAACGCAATGTTAATTCATCTAGAGGAGAATAGACCTACATTCCATGGAAAATACTGCAAATCAAATGACATAACCAGCCACTATTGATCCAAAGAAGCTGCTTTTTTTCTTTTCTACTTCCGTTTTCAGTCAGACAATAATCTTGAATCTCTGCTATCACATTGCACCAGGAATGTCCATAAAGGAAATCCCATAGCATGATTTCGGTGCCCATGAGCTCAGAGCATCTGGGCTTGTCCCAGACCACTTTGAGGCTCTGTTTAAACTCACAGAAAGTTTTGACCCAAAAAAAAAAAAAAAATCACAGAAAGTAGTTGCTCTGCACTAAAAATCACCATTCTCAATTTGTCAGTTACTCAGCAATTTCTTCGCCTTACGACCTCATGATCAGAGAGTACCACAAGTTACAGAGTTCGACCTTGCAGGGCTCAATATGTTAAGCAGCAAACAAACTAACTAACATAAACCATTCCTAAGCACGTATTGCCAAGAGAACAAAGAAGGAAAAAGAATAAACAAAACACGATCACCTCAATCAGACCTCAATCAGGAGAAGAAGACACGAACTCTCTCACACTCTCCACAAAGCTCCAACCTTTCGGCCTCTCCGACCTCTTCACGTACTCGCCCGCGCACTCGCGCGTGTACTCGCTCAAACCCACCTCCCCTCTCCTCCGCCACAGCCCCTCCCCGAAGCTAGCGTGCGCGAAATACGCCTCCGCCTCCGCCGGGCCGCCGTCGCCCTCCACCTCTATCGGCAGCCGCTCGTAGTGGCCGCGCCCGATGCCCTCCAGCTCGTCGACCCGGGAGAGGCCGCGGGGCGAGACGGAGAAGAGCTCGCCCCGGACGCGGTGGCCCCGGCCGGGGAGGTTGACGAGGAAGGGGATGCCGAAGGGGCCGAGGACGAGGGGGTGGGGGAGGCGGGTGACGCGCGGGCCGAGGGGGACGGCGTCGCGGGAGCGGATGAGGTCTTCCATGAGCGGGTGGTTCGGGAAGCCCCGCTTCAGCGTGCCGTACGTGAAGATCAGCGAGTGGTGGTCGCACGCCATCGTCGCCATCGAAGCATGCACACGCAGCAGAGGGAGAGAGAGAGAGAGAGAGAAGGAGATGAAATGAGGGTTGACTGTTGACTATTTGTTGACTATTGAGTCGAGATCAGACGATTTTGGGCCGGAACATGGGCCGGATTTTGGGCCTAATGATATTTCTTTTTATATGATGGGCCTCATGATATTGAATTGTGAGGTCCAAGCTGCATGAAACAACATCATGACGCCTCCATGATTTAGGCGTTTTCGTTAGGGTTCGCGAGAAAACTGGTCTCTTCATGGCTAATCCGGTCAAAAGGGTTGGTCAGATTGAAAATAGTGCGACTCAAATTGACACGTATTGATCATTCTTTAGGCAATACGATTTTAGCGAGTCAAATCCGACTCGGACTCAAGCATAACCGACCCGGCCCATATTACTAAAATACAATCATATTTAACCAGACCAATTAAAACCCTTACCCACCACCCTCACGTTTTCAACCTGGACTTGTAGCGCAGCACAAAGGAGGACTCGGCCTTCTCTCGAAGAATCTGAAAATTGTTGTACACAATCTATCCGGGCCCAACGCAATTCTCGCCATTTGGAATTTGGAAAAGCACACCCATCAGAGGATCTCATGTTTATTTGGGTGTAGCCCTTTGAGTCGACAGTGTCATCTACGATGTTTACCACAGACATTGTGAGATTTTACGTGCTCCAACATTACCATGCCCAGATTGATGAGGATGACAAGATTCATGGTGAATCGAATTCGCTATGATGATTACAAAAAAACACCGGATTAGCGACGGAATTTGCGACGGAAAACGTGGAAAAATCCGTCGCAAATCGAATTTGCGACGGAAAATTCACAAGTTCGTCGCAAATTTGCGACGAAAAAGAATTCGTCGCAAAATTCGTCGCAAATTTGCGACGGCACATAGTCCGTCGCAAAATTCGTAGCGAATATTCCGTCGCAAATTTGCGATGAACTTTGTCCGTCGCAAATATCCGTCGCAAATTTCGTCGCAAAATTTGCGACGAACGTTTGTTCGTCGCAAAATTCGTCGCAAAAATCCGTCGCAATTTCGTCGCAAATTTCGTCGCAAAATTTGCGACGAACGTTTATCCGTCGCAAAATTCGTCACAAAATTTGCGACGAACGTTTGTCCGTCGCAAATTTCGTCGCAAAATTTGCGACGAACGTTTGTCCGTCGCAAAATTCATCGCAAAAATCCGTCGCAATTTCGTCGCAAAATTTGCGACGGACGTTTGTCCGTCGCAAAATTCGTCGCAAAATTTGCGACGAACATTTGTCCGTCGCAAATTTCGTCGCAAAATTTGCGACGAACGTTTGTCCGTCCGTCGCAAAATTCATCGCAAAAAATCCGTCGCAATTCATCGCAAATTTCGTCGCAAAATTTGCGACGAACGTTTGTCCGTCGCAAAATTTGCGACGAACGCTTGTCCGTCGCAAAATTTGGGCCGAACGGTTGTCCGTCGCAAAATTCGTCGCACAAATCCGTCGCAATTTCGTCGCAAAATTCGTCGCAATTTTCGTCATAAAATTCGTCGCGAATTTCGTTAGCAAATTCGTCGCGAATTTCGTCGCAAATTAGTGACAAACTTTAATGATAACAAAATTCGGCTTAAAATATTCGTCGCTATTTTTATATCATTTCGGCCATAAATTCTTGTCCATATCAATCAAAGGAGACAATGATATATAATTGAAACAGAAAAACGAACAAACCATAAATTCTGACAAACCAGCCACAATGACATATAATTGAAACAAATAACAGAAGGAAAGTTGTAGAGTCTTACATGATACTATTTGATATCCAATATTACAATACAGTCAAAACATGAACTAAGAGACGGGACAACCATAAAAGATGCAAAAAAATCATACAGAAGAAGACGCGGCTTTGGTACGATGGCAGGACACCAAAAGTAGTCACTTTTGTCAAGACCTGAGGAAATATCGATACATAAATCAGTCCAGAATATAAAAAAAGCGTTTATGCATGGATGTGGAACTAGGTGTAAAATAACAAAAGGGTTAACAAAAATACGTTTAGGGACGAACATAAATGTTCTTACATATGAATATGAGTGAAATTATGAAAAATCAATATTATGAAGCAAGCTTACCCCCGATTTTGAGAAATTTAACTAGAAAGACCGGAGAAAATCTTCATCATCATCAGCAGCATTCTCGGCATCAATGTGTTGGTCATCATTGTACCCATCACCTACTGGATTGGCTGGAGGTACAGGAGGATCGCCATAGCGATTGATGTTAAGGTGTTGCATAACGACTCTCATTTGTTCTTCCAAGTTTTGTATTTGTTCATCCTTCTTAACAAGTAAATTATTGAGACGATGCACTTCTTGGGTCAAATTCTCGTCTGGTCGTGACTTCCTTCGACCAGTCCCAGTGGATGATGAACTTCTAGGACCATTCGGCATGAACATCCTTGATAATGATCCCATCCCAAATATTTTCCCTTTTTTCGCCCCACCCGTTGCCTCCATCCATAATGCCATATTATCAACTGGTGGCCGGGACTCAGGACAATCATCACTACCACTAGCACTGCTCATTAAAAGTTCATCATATTTTTCCTACATTAACAATATAGATGAAAATAAAATCACTATATATATATCTACCGAAAATATTGAAAGCATTCACGGTTTTCATTATAGTTTACATATAAGCCAAAGTATAACCTTACATACCTTAATAGCTTTTGCTCGATCGCCAGTCCATGTCTTATCTTTCTTTTGAAATGTGCGTTCAAATATAGCTGTAAATGTCGGTTCCGTCCCCAATTCATGTGCCTACAAAATGTAAACATGAGTAATTGAATTAAATTAACTGATAACTCATTTAATAGACTTACCATTCGTTTGCGATGCTCCGCAATGTTGATAAAGCCCCCAGCATATGTGGCTGACCCATCACTAGAACTAGAAGATCGATTCTTCTTATTCCGCTCACAGAGTTGCCGACTCTGTTCAGATGCCCAAAATGTCTTAATTGCCTCCCAATTGTCAGCTGTAAAGAAAGACGGCTTCGTTTGCTTGCTCTTCGCTCTATTCATGACATTTCGCATAAAATCACTTATTTTCTTATCGAAAATTCTTCTCATTTCATTGTCTTCCGATTCCTCCCACTTGAACTTCCGCTGCAATGAATAAAAACACAAATTAAAAATTATTATGATGATTACATATCCATAACCATGCACCAAACAAATATAGACAGATTTTGTAAAGTTCATGTCAGGGAAAATATCTGGTCCTTTAGGTATCGAAAACTACGGAGTTGTTCTGGTCCCTTTACATCATTCTTGACCGTCAATATACTACACCACACTTAATTGGTGAGAAAATAAAATATGTAAAACTTACCTTGAACTCATTCCACCACATTTCTTTCACTTCTTGTGGAACATTTCTGTAAGTAATATACTCTCCCATCCAAAAGTTTCTTACTATTTTGTTCAATTCCCTTACAACAGACGGAGCATCCGTGAATCTGCATTCATATGAATATTGTGCAACATGGACAATTCAATTGACATCAATATCTAAAGCCATAAATATTACATATACTAAAATAAAAATGAAGTACTTACGAATCTCCAAATGGGCATATGAAGAATCGGTTATCTTCTTGACCTATGTTTCCGTCAAAATTCGATTGTTCCGCCGAATAATGGGGTGGAACGGAAGGAGATGGAGCTAAAGGAGATTGAACTGGAGAACGTTCAGTTCGCATGTGGCCAAGTCCCGTAACATGTTGTTGAGCGTTGGAGGAAGGGCCAACGTGTCCATATTGTGACGGACCATACTGTGGTTGAGGGTTAGATGCCGGGACAGGGGAAGAGGAAAGGGCCGGGGACGAGGACGAGGAAGAGCCTTATCTTCTAGGCATGTGACCTCCACGTTTAAACTGACAAGTAGGAAGGTTATGCGAATATGTACAAAACTATTGACACGTATTCCGAACACATAATGATGTACATGACGAAGCTTACCATTTTGATGGAAAGACTGAGAAAATGTTTCCTTGAAATGAGCCAATGTCGAGTGTTTATGACGTGCAATTTCCTACAAACAAATATACTATGAATCCCATTCATTTTGATATGAAACATCAATGTATGAGCACGACTTGGGTGGCTACAGGTATTAAACATCACTATATGAATCGCATTCATTTTGATTAAATTTTTTTTTACAACGTACAAAAATTTAAATTTCACTGAAAGTGGGTGGCCACAGGTATTCTGATTCATTCTGTACAGTTTTGTAAGAAAAAAATTATTATTATTGCAAAAAAAAATTCTGGGCCCTAAAAAAAGATTTCACTAACAGTTAGTGGCCACCGATATTCTAAGACATTTTGTAAAGTTTTGAAATTTTAAAATTATAAGCATTTTTATATTATTATTTTTTCATATAAATTTTTTTCGTGAAATAAAAAAATTTGTCCATACTAAAATTGGGTGGCCACAGGTAGTCTAAGCTATTAGGTAAAGTTTCCAACATTTTTGTCCTTATTTATTTTAATAGTTTTTAGGGCACGTTAAAAAAATTAAATATAACTAAAAGTGGGTGGCCACAAGTATTATAAGTCATTCCGTGAAGTTTTGAAAATTTTTAAATTCTAATTTTTGTTTGGCCATCTAAAGAAATTTACATTTCTAGGCAATTCTGTGCAGTATTGAAATTTTATATTTTTTTAATTTTTTTTTCACCCAAAAAAAATAAAAATTTCCTTCACAATGAGTGACCACATTTATGTTAAGCCATTTTATAATGTTATGGAAATTTTTCATTTTTTAATATATTTTTCCCCGGAACGTTAAAAAATCTAAATTTCATTGAAAATGGGTTGTCACTATTAATTTTTGCCATTTTGTGATATTCTGAAATTTTTGTTTTTTAAAAAGTTTAAAAAACTTTTACGGTCAAATTTCATATTTGTTGCCAACATATACCATTGTTGGCATTTTCCGTAATTTTCCTTGATTTTTTATAGAATTATTCAATTTTCAAGCAT